TGTAACAAATAAAAAAAATATTTTTTCTATTGCAAATAACATTTATTACTTTTACAGTATGTAAGTTTAAAAAAGCTTATTCGAAGTGGTCTCCATTGGCTGCAATACAGTCCTTTAAACGTTGAGGCCAGTTATCAATAGAAGCACACACTCTTTCCAATCGTAGGTATGGATTGTTTTAGGGAGTCCAAATTATAATGACGTTTAGAGCAAGCCCTACTCTCTAAAACTGACCATAAATCATAATCCAGCTGATTAAGATCGGGACTAGACGACGGCCAGTCTTCAGCTCTGATGAAGTCGGAAACGTTCGTTTCCAACCAAGACTGCGTGGACCGAGCTTTATGACCCGGCGCCGAGTCTTACTGGAAGGACCATTGTTGGTTATTGAACATGGTGTTGTTAAGGGGCTTAACTACCTTCTCAAGAATGGTATTTTGATACACTTGTGCCGATGTTTTGATACCTTTTTCGCAAAAGTATGGCTCAGTCACTCCTTCATAGCTAACACCCCACCAAACCATCACTGAAGTCGGATAACGCCCACGTTGCACTCTGTCGACTAATTGAGAAACTTCCTTAGAGCTTTGAGCATAAATACGGTCATTTTGTTTGTTAAAATGTTGCTCAATTATAAAAATTTTCTCATCCGTAAACAAAATTTTTCTGTGACCTCCCTTTGCGTACCGCTTCAGTAGTTGTTTAGATTTTATCACCCTATTCTTTTTTAAATTATCATTTAAAAAATGTCTAGGGCGTCTCTTAAAGGCTGCAAGTCCTAAGTCGTCTTTTAAAATACGCGACATGGTTCTAGGTGCTATCTTCATCTCCCGAGATAAAATCTTTTGCTTTCGGACAGAATTTCTTCGAATTCTTTCCCTTACTGCTTTGACCACCTTTTTCGTACGAACACTTCGTGGACGGCCAGATCTTTTTCTGTCACAAACAGAGGAGGTCTCATTGTACCTATTAATAGCCCGGTACACAAACATTTCACTAAAGCCAAACGGGTGGAGAGTTTTAAAAATTGCATTTGGCTCCATACCCACTTTGTGTAATGCAATCACAGCGATTCGGTTCTTTTTATCACCCCACTCCATTTTAATATCGCAAAATATTGAACAATTTATTGGCGCCAAAATAAGAAAACACAATGAAAAATTATATAAAAATGACAGATTCCAAATTCAAATGTAATATTTTGTTTATTTTTAATTGTAACAGTATTTATGGCCAGAATATGTAAATACATACGGGTAAACAGGCACGGGGTGACTTGCAAACTAAATTGTTCTAAGCACGTAGCGACGCGAAGGCAGCATAATTATGTTGGGCTTGGAAAAGGAGGAAGATCCTATGGCAATCAGAGCGATCCCGGTATTACCAACAAGAGTCCTACCAGCATCTTACTGACATACCCCGAGCCTCCTTTAACTCGTGTGATTCTCCATTCAAGCCAGCCAATAAAGGCAAGAATGAGGTGGTAGGGTTTGTTCCTCATCGGTGTCCGCCTCAGATAGTCACGAGGACTAACCATAAAAGAAGGACGACACCCCCAGGAGTCAGGACCGTGGCGTCGTCTCTGCCCAACAGCTCGCCACTAGCTGACTTGAAGACCAGACATCTGGTAAAAGCTCTTTGAACACTCAATGCTCTGTTTGCAATGCAATGCATATATGGGACTCCACACTTCATAAGCAATTTATAGATATCCTTATACTTACTAGACTTTTATACTAAGGTCTGTTTGTGGCCGTATAAGACAAATCTCCTTGGTGATATGGCTTTATACTTACTTACTATATTTCTGAAAAAAAAACAAAGGAGCTCTACTACCCACTGACGAACCGAGCTTCGATTTTTTGTTGCTTCAAAAATATTATCCATGGGCGGTAAAGGTTCGCTACATAATAATACAGAGTTACTAGTAACTTGACGTATTCCTTGCAGGACATCATAGTAGGGTTAAAATACAACAAATTAAGCTACCAAATGTTCTACCGAATTTCAGTAGTTTATGAGTTTATGGGTTTTAGAGTTTTTGTGAAAATGAGTTTCTGGGAAAAATCCCAGATTGAATTATTAATTATTCACCGGGCGACTGTAGGTACTGAAATATAACTTATTATCATAGATGACTATATCATTCGTAAGATATGTTTCTGATATATCTGAGACCTTGGATGCCAGACATGTAGTGGATGCAATATAGGTACTCTGATTTTATCAGTGCATTCGACAATGTCATCCGCTCATGATAGCTAAATTGGAGTATTGTGGGGTTCATTATGGTTGCTTACTTAGATGGTTCAAATCTTATCTATTGAATCGCTCTCCGTTCGTCGCAGTCAATGAAATGTCTCATTAATGTTCCTCGCCATGTCTGGGGTTCCGCAGGGATCCCATTTAGGTCCAGTATTGTTTTCCAAATTGGTTAATTATTTAATTAGTAAAAAAAAGCATTGTGAGAGCTTATTATATGCTGACAACTTTAAAATGTACAAGAGAGTCACTGGGCCCGCTGACAGTAAGCTTGTTCAGACGGATTAGTCAACTTAGAAAATTGGTGCACAGCTAACTTTATCTTAAACCCCCAAAATGCTTCTGCATGCGATTTTTTAGGAGAAAAAAATCGTGAACAAAATGGGTCCAAGATGAAACCCCTGCGACGCGCCAGACTTTCAAAATATTTCTAAGCATCAAATCCTTTACTGATATTATCTGTGATAATTATTTTGAATAAATAGGATAGAAACCAATTTACCTAAATGATTTTCATATACCTACGCCATAGGGCTAACAATGTTTACTGACCAAAAAAGCTTTACTAACTCTATCAAAAGCACTGAAAAAGTCTGTGTATGGAATACTTGCCACGTAGGAGCATCAATCACCACGTTTGCTTAAGGGGATTGGCGATTTCAATTATCGGTCGAAAAAGTATTTCTCATTAAAAATTAGTGTCGGAGAGCCATGCGTCGTCACAAATCACAAATTCGATCCGCACACTATACAAATTATACAAGACGAAACGAAATCATACGAGCCGAACCGAAATCATACAAACCATTTCATAGCGCCCCCTTGGTGTCGCCACATCGAGTGAAGTCCAGTTTCATGGTCATCTAGAGGTCAAGGCCAAGTTGACCTCGAAGAAGCCGGATGTGCTCAATAGTATTTCACTCCAGGGCATCGCCTACTACTTTTCAATGCGCAAGTTGGGCCTCATGTGGAATACTGTGCTCATCATTGGGCGGGGGCAACCTCAGTACCGGTTTCTTCCAATGGATCTCATTCAGCGACGGGCTATTCGAATCGTTGACTGCCCTGTTGTCTCGGACCGGCTGGACTCTTAGGCACTACTTTTAAGGCACTACATTAGGATGTAGCCTCGCTATGTGTTCTCTATCGCATATATCACGGGGAATGTTCTTAAGAATTGTTCGGCTTAATCCCCGCCGCATCTTTTCGCCAACGTTCTACGCGAAAGCATTTTCATCCCCATCACATAATGGTTGGCAGTCAACAACTGTGGGATTTAAGCAAACCTTTCTGCCCTGCACAACGAAACTTTGTATTGATCTTTCGACAGCGACAATGTAAAAAATAATATATTCTTTTTTAAGAAAAAAAAAATTCAAATATGGGCTGCCGTCTTATTATTTTTTATACTAAACAGTACATTTAAATTATAATTTTGTTTTAAATTATATCAATGTCAAAGAGTATATTACCACTAGAGAGCTTATAGGCCGATTCCTTCTAAGAACACGACTCACCACTGCGGGCCGGGGGACGAGGACTAACGCGCGACTGCAATTGGTCAGTTCATTCCGTATTATTTAATTAACGATAAAATGTAATGCCATCTTTTTTGTAGCTAGATATTTTGGAATGTTTCCTAAACTACTTTATCACGCATGAAGGCATTTTGATGCGATAAAATTGCAATAATAAGGAAATTTTGCGTGCAGAGAGGTCTAACACTTGGACACAATTAAATAGTTACTAGTACCGAGGCCTAGACATAGGCGACAAAATACTAATAGTTTTCGAGCGGCGGGGCACTGCATGCGCCGTCAAGTGGTTATATTGTCATTGATATAGGTACATTAATGGATTGTTTTTTGGAATTTAATCCTTAAGAGAAAGGCCCATAATAAAGTAAGGTATTTATGACCACGCTTGTAGGGCGCTTGGACCAACGTGGACCGGAGTTATACCACAGCCTCAGACCCCCACAGAACACCGTTTTTCGCCATGTGGGTGATGTTCCTGGAGGCCTAATCCTTCCCCTCCCCCATCGCTCCTCTATCCTCAATCTTCGAAACCCTTATACCCAAAAGGCGAGCAACGTACTCGTAACTACTAACGACTACTGCTTACTATCAGGGGTGTTAGGGAGCTCCGTAACCGTAACCGAAACTATCGGATGTCCGATATAAAAAAGCATCCGTAACCGTAACCGAATCCGAAATTAAAGTTTCGGATAGTATCGGATAGGGGCGGAGTCTAATTGAGACACGTTATGACAAGTTGTTTTGATCGGCCGGCCGCTGCCAGTGCCGACACAGCTGCGTGCATTTTGTTTTTTTTTCTTCTTTGACAAATGTGTTGGTTGTGTTACGGAATCGATTGAATTTGTACAAAATACGTCCTAAGTCTAGTGCAGTTTGGTCGTTTTTTGATGAAATGACCGATTCCGCAAAATGTAAACAGGTGGTATAAGCTTTTCAAGGAAAGAAGGTGGAACTACATCGCTAAAACTTCACCTTAAATCACAACATAGTGATAAGTACGAAGAATTTTACTTTTAAAATTCCTTAAAAATATAATATCCGTAACCGAAACTAACGGATAATCCGAAATAATTTATTATCCGTATCCGGTATAATAATCATTCCTATATCCGTATCCAATCCGTAACCGAAATTTCATATCCATAACATCCCTGCTTACTATCAAGAAATCCGCCTGCTCGTTTATCGATGCATCACTTAAAAAAACTCAATTAAATACTTTTTAAAGTAATTTATTTATATGTAATTATACCATTTTCACAGCGAAATAAAATTAATACTACTCTATAACTGTTCACATTTAGCAGGATTGGAATAGACCCTTCTTCCTCATCTCCTCGAACTCCTTCTCAGCGTCGTATGTCCTGGAGGCAAAGGAAAAAAGGATTAATATGTATTTAGGTTAAATAGATTATGAATTTATGAACATACAACTTGACAAACAGGTCAAAATAAATAATTTTGTAGCAAGCTTTCCTTCGGGCAGTTTCTAAATAAATGTCAAAGATGATACTTTTCTATGACAAAATAAATTTTGTGCCTAGGTACAAAAAGTCGAAGGTAACGATTAAGTTTTGTTTAAGAAAACTAACCAATTGAGTTCAGTATATTCTTCTTTCTCATTATCTCCACAAACCAGGTTTTTTGGGGGTGGAAATTTATCAAATGACTTGTCTTCTCTGAATGAGTGGGGTGAGAGGGTATATTTTATGTGAGGTTTGGGATGTTAAGTCAAGTAAAAAGAAAATTCCGATTGAACCATAAATAGGTACTTTTGAAACATCTAAATAGAATATAATCAGTCAGTCAGCGTGAGTTAAACTATATAGGTGCTTTTTCCAAAGTGTAGATAGTAATGGAGAAGAACGAGCAAGAAACTTTATTTTTTACATACTCACTAATACATTATTTTACCCAATGATATTATAAGAATAAAAGTGTAAATAGGTTACAACCGATCAGCAAGTGATACATTAAAATGTGGCTAACTAGCCACACTTTTTCATATTTGTCTCTTTTTCCCTCGCGATTATTGAATCATGCCATCTCACTTTAACGTGTATCATACGATTTATTCTTGTGTGCATTAGTGTGCCGTTTTTGAAAATCTAATTTTGTATATGTAACCAATCTACAGCATTTTACTTATAATATCATTGACTGTACTCATATGTGAGAACAATGAAGACAACAACGCCAATGTATATAATATATCTCATCTATACTAATATCATAAACAGGTAAAATTTGTAAGTTTGTATGTAGGGGTAATCTTTGGAACCGCTGGTCGGATTTCCAAAATTCTTTCACTAGAGATAGCTACAATGTTCCTGAGTGCTATAGGCTATAAAACATCATGCTACGATCAAATGGAGCCGAGTAGCAGGTGAAACCGCGTGGGAGTAGTTAGTTTATAATATAGATATTTTTATTACCAAAGAACTACATCTTACCTGTAGTATTCAGCATACTTCCTCTTGCGCTCGTTACCGACCAACTGCTTGACAGCAACGGCGGAGATCCCAGCGAGGACCAGAGACACGATCAAGTTTCGCTTGATCTGAGCGTTGAGGAGACCCCTCATCATGGGCTTGCTAGCGGTGGATACTGCTTTGTCTGCCATCTTTAATAGAAAAACGGTTTTATTGTATTGATGTAAGGATTGAAAGTTGATTCTTCATCAGATAGAAAATATGGAATGTATAATATAATGTAATACAATTACTTAAAATTTTGTGGTTCAATATTCAGTCAAAACTTAAAAAAACAAATCATAATCTGTAAGTCTTTATCTGTTTTTATAGAAACTTAAAACAAAATAATATCAAACATTGGATAATGTGATCATGTTGACAAAAACCATTGAAGGCAAATCCTCCGCTAGCATTGGTCAATATTGACCGCATTGAAGTTGAATGGGTTAAAACAAAACAAACAATCTTTGATATTATCTTGATGGTAGTTTAGTTGTTCATTAGTAAAATTGTTATTCATTTCGGCTGCATGTTTTAATAGTAATTTTTTTATCAATGGTTGGACCTTGTTTAACCGCCCTAATGTACATTCCCAACAAAATAATGTCACACATTGTTCATACAGATTACCTTTACATTATCTACTACATACATACATATACAGCAATTGTGAAATAGTATCGTATTTTTCACTGGATATAGTAGGTACCTACGGCCGTCGAATCTTGGCGAGTCTGAAGTTAGCCGATTAGCTGCGCAGTACACAATTTTGTTCCTAAAAGATCCATTGCACAGACAAACGCCTAACTTCAGACTCGCCAAGATACGTCGGCCGTATAGTACTGTTCTTTAGGGCTTCACTACTTCTACTTACTACATAATACAGTTGGTATACTTAGGCAAAACAGACAGGCGTTTTATTGAGTTTACATTGTACAATCGCATCAATGACTGCTGTATATGGTATAAGCGACATTATTATTATTGTAGATAATCAATTATTAAAGAGAACATTATTTGAAAATGTTACAGATAAACTTAATAGTCTTTATAGATTGGTCATATTATAATATAATCAGACTGTGGTGCCCATCGTGCAAAGTAATTATAGCATAAGACTGTCATTACCAGTCAAAGCTGGTTAATGTAAAAGACGAGAAGATAGATATTGTTTCATTCCTTTCCTTTTAATATTTTGTGTATTTTACAGTAATGGCGATTCGTCATTATCTTAGGTTTTTATCTAATGTTACAAATCTTTTTATAACGAATATAAGATTTCGGTGATGTTCACGAAATACAACATAACCTTATATTGTTTTTCCATCATTTTTGGGTTAAGTAGGTATATCTGAAATTATTCTATCCAATCAGATAAGCTGATAAAGTCATCCAAATCTAAGTAATAAATTGAGAATATTATTCTGAAAAGTAACAATTTACAGTGATCAACGGTATAAAGAAAGTATTATTATGTTATTACGAGAGTAAAAATACTATAATTGACGTCAAAAATTACTGAAATGAGGAAAATTATTTTCACAAATCATGGGTGTCTATTGACAACGATCTTACATAACAACTACTTGACGGCATTTTTTCATAGTGATCGACTACCAATTATTTGAAACCAAAGTAAACTGGTAAGTAAAAACGTGAAAAAAATAATTATATAAATGTACTTACTTTTATTTATTTAGTTTTACGAAAATTCGTAAAGCACACGAGAACAGCAAGTGCAATTTTCAACTGATTTCTATTACGGATTTGTTTTATCAATTCTAAAAATATCTGATAGTCTATTTGCTCTTATGATGACCTTCCATAAAACGTCCAATCACAAACCTTAACCATAAAGTTGCGTAGAAAATTAAGGTAAGTGATTGGACGAAAAACACAGGTCCGTTCTCAAACGTTGATTTTTAGTTTGACATTGCGTTTCGTTCCACGAAAAGTAAAAAATAAAAATAAAATTTACCAAATCAATAGTTTTTACTTTTTAATTGTTCAAAAATATTATCACATTTAAAAGGAATAACCAAACAACACTATTAAAAAAAAAATTTCATTGTTTCAAAGCCATTTATAGTGACTTTGGACAAAGTAATAGGACTAAATTGTAATAAAAACATTCGATATCTCTAGGATAACATTAGTCGTTCTAAATTATTATTTAAAAAAAAAAAAGAAATTTGCAGTACCTATTATTTTTTAGATTTTCAAGCAATATGGCACACACCTGCCAACTTTGGCTATCCTCTATTGTTTTACTAAAGATATTGGTTTAGTTGATATTTTAAAGTATTACAAATTTTTATATTTGCCTTGCCGATTAACATCTTTCAATTAGTAAATAAATAAGTTAGACAGGTACAAAATAAAGTTATTTCTGCTAGGACCTCAATTTATATTTTAGGTAGTATATTGCAACATTTCAATACTGAAAACATGCAAAGTTCAACCCGACCGTGAATGTATAATCATAGTATAAAGAGGAGCTTTATACTATGGTATAATCATGTATGCTAAAACTATCTACCTAAACTTTGTATTTCTTTATTTATTATTAGGAAATAATATTTTGTTATCAAGTCAGGGGCTGCTGGCCCATTTTTGTTATTGGGCTAGTCGGTCAGTGGGTACTGAGTAGTCTTAGGTGCGGATTCATCTATGGACCTTCCTGCCCCGTTGGGGCAAGAACGTTTATAGCGTTTTCGGTCTAAAATACACTCCGTTCCTTCTCCTGCTCTTGGCTGGGCTGTGGAATTCGTCATTGCGCTAACACCTTAACATTCCGGTTTCAATCTAGGATAGCTTTCATAATATACATGGAACATATGCTAGAATTTATAAACAGTATCCCAAGCATTGATCCCAAGTGGTCCTTCATAACTGCTTCGAGACAACTTGTCTAAATGCAAGTGTACCAAGAAGTGCTTACAGAGTCTTCAATCTTGCCAGACCAGAAAATGAATTAGGTAACTAGTTGTCATATTTGCAGGAGTTATCTTTGCTTTCTTGTTAACACCGATAACGAGTTTCTTTCATTTCATTTAATTGCGACTCTATCCAGAGCAGCACGCCGCCTATGTAACGTCGTAAACGCCACTAAGATGAATTTATTTCAATTTATTCAGACAAGGTGATAATCTTTGTATATTTTAATTATAAGCATTGCTTGCTGCAGTCCAACCTGTAGTGTGTAGGGTAGGTGTGTGGGAAAATAAAAAGATAGTCAAATTAAAACCACAAAATATTTTTTATTCATTTATTAATAAACTAACTTTACAAATTTAATAATAGCAGAACAATAATATTCCTTATTTCTCCATTCGTAATAATATGATAAATCAGCATGACTCAATCGTACTTTTATCAATAAAATTTCTTCAATCGTTATAATATGTTGATAAATCAGCTTGACTCATCGTACTTTTTATCAATATAATAATTATATGATTTTTAAAAATAATCTAGAAACGACAGTGAAAGCAACTTACAGAGAAAATAATGCACAATATAAAACTGAACTTCATAAAATTGCCAGCAACGAAAAATAATTACAGGCATCGTTTATCATTGTCCTAAATTGATTCCCCGCGGCGCTTGCCGCCCAACACGAACTAGAAAAAATATTACAAATAACATAAAGTTAACTTTATTGTATCAATTCTTTCATTTTACTATTTCTGCATGTATTTACAAGTTCCATAGAATGTAAACAAAACTATAACCTACTCTCGTGTGGTGTAACCCCTAAACTATATTTATAAGTGTTATTAAAACTATTTGTATTTCTCTTTCTTCATTGTAGATATATAAACGTACAATATAGATATTTATTTATCGGCATAAATTACTATCATTAGTCGAAAATAAAAACAAAACAAAATAAACTAAAATGATAACTATACACCCAATATACACAGCTAGTTGAGAGTTCATTCACTATAATTATATGGTACAAGCTTGCAAGTCATACTTTTATATTACAGTATAAGGCTTTTTGCATGTCTACAGGAGTCGCTCCGTCTCAGGAGCGATTCGCTAGTCTCCACGTACGTCTATTTACAAACGCCACTCCCCAAACTAAATATGATTTTAAAAGAAAACAAGTACTTAAAACGTAACATATATTAATATCCCCATCTATACATAAAAATTTACAAGAGATTGTACATCGGCCGGACCGATTTAGTAATGAATAATTTAAGAAAAACAAAGGTTTGTTTACAAAACACTCCCGCCGACGCTCAGACTAGCCGCGTCTCGCTCTCTATACACTAATATTTGTTTAACGTTTAACAGACATTACCACGGCACACAGTCATAGGGCACAATTTATTCAGGCAATAAATTCATTACTAATTATTAAAATATTTTCTCATTATATACTACGTACGTACTATACACGTTATGTATTGTAGCACTATCACTGTCCGACTAACATTGAACATCTTCGAAGAGGGAGAGGGGAACAAACAATGACTTCGGGACAAATTATACAAATACTGTAATGTACGGCGATCTAAGCTAACAGTGTAAAAGCTGTCTAAAACTGTGCTTTAAATAAAATGTCACATCCAAATATTATTGCTCTTGGGTTGTATCCCTATACACAGGAACGAAACAAGTCTACGCGAACCATAGATGCCTACAGGTGGTGTCCATCTTGCACTCCTTACCGACCGATATTAGAGGATTCAATAACAATAGGTCTGTAGGACACCCCGTGTCCTCTAGTCCACCATTTAATTAAGTTTTGTCACTAATTTATTACATAATTATGATTTTGTCCTCAAATTGTATATTGCAAGGTTCAATTTAGTTACAACCAATTATTATTATTTAGTATAAATGATGAACATTAAGGCGAGCGAATCCAAAACACCACACTCCTATACTCAAGTGTCCAAAAACCGTGATAAAAAAACACTAGCGTCTATATTAGATAACTAAATTCATTCGATAACCAACTATGCTTAGTGCGTAGTAGAAGCTAAGTCACTGGTTCATTATCTATGGATTTGGTGTACAATTTGGGATTAAAATTATTTGAATTATAATGGTGGGAATACAGGTCGACAAATGGAGGGAAAACGAAATAAATGGGGCGTCAAAATAAAATTTTAGTTATACTGGAAGCCCGAACAGACAAACTGTTAAAACATTCAGTCGCGATTATTATCTCATTCACTAAGAAATTATCAAGTTCCACATTTAATTACAATTATTGGTCGTGAATTCTCTTAAATATAAAAACGCTAACGTTACATCGTAATAGCGGCCAGCGTCTTGCGCGGGAGCACGGCGTCGCATCAAATTGAACCTACCATCGATACATTCAGCTACTCGAAATATACGCTGAACACCGATGTCACTTGGTCGAATTCTCATTTTATATTACAAATAAAACACGCCGTCCTCCCGCCAAAACATAATAAAACTACAACGTTGCGTTCACGTCACGAAGTTACGTGCAAAAACGTATGAAAATATTTAACTTTATGCATTTATTTCATTCTCTTTATATCTCTCGGGTATTTATACTATTATAACAATGTGCCTATATGTCGAGTGCATTTTGTACAATAATGATACACATCTATTCACTAGTAAACTAAGGCTCTCCACGGCGCAAACTCCACGGAGTCTTGCATGGTGGCAACGTTTCAAGTTCCCCGCGCACGCCCGTTTTACCATTGTCATTAGTCGATTCGTCAACATCACTATTATGTACCTATGGTTACTAAATTCTGTATAACTACAACTTTGTTTTAATTGATACAATCGGCTAATTGCAGTGTTAAAACTGGCACGTTAGCTTTCACACTTAAAGACGAATACGCTTAAAATTACTTGATAGAAATTAACTTACACTTAAAAGAACAAAAAGTCGAGTGTTTTATAGTGAATGGTAACATTTGTTCACTAAAAATAAATTATACCGACAGTGTGACTCTCGGTATTTGATTGGGTCCGGCGTAATCGATTCAACGTTTCGCAATCGATAAATATCAATAGATTAGGATTGCAGGACGGATTTAGGAAGAATTAATTTTAGAATAGATTTTGTCGTTGTGTAACTTGTGGACTTTATAGATTATATAGTTAAGCACGCCAATAAATTGATATTATTATTTACTTATCGCACCCATTTATTTACTTGCTACGGTTTTATATTATGTTTTAGCGTAGAAACATTAATGTACATGTGAGAATAAATTCGACTATTCTAAAATCAATTTAGCTAAATCCATTTCTATCCCCGACCAATTGGAATAGAACATCTTTGTACAAGCGACGACCACAGTCACACGCGTGACATGTAGTTTTAGACACATTCTCATTAATTGTATTCGAGTGTACAATAGAATTTGAATAAATAAATAAAATTAACCAGATTTATCCAGTTTCGATATATTTTATAATTATTGGTATAAAATTAATAATTCATATTTAAGAGCATTGCATTAATATTTGATGGCCGTTGTCGTCAAGTTTCGTGGTTGCCGCTTGTACTCAAGCACTAACAAAGTGCAGCCGACACATCCGACTTCATAAATACACACCAACAAACATTTCATGTTAAATCATCAACACAGTGTTCCTCAAACGTTAGTATTGCAATCTTACTACTCCTTACACTCTGCTGTTAATTCACAATTGATTTAATTAATTGAGATTCATTTAAATGAACAATTACCAATCGCGGATTAGTGCAAATAATTTCGGATTAATTTAACTCTCAACGTATTTTACAATTTAGTTAATTTTAAATACATAACTATGATCGTGACCCATACTGGTATAACATAAGACTGAATGAATGAAGGCGGGCGCGACCCGTTACATAGCTTCTGACCAATGCTCTGTGTTCATGTAGTCGTAGGGACTGACGCAACTTGTACTAGTGTATGAGGTTCGGTGCGCAGTGTCGTGCGGAGGGAGGAGACAGCGTTACCTAGCGGCGCGGGGCTCACGCCTCGCCCGCCCCGCACTCGTAGGGCTCGCGGGGCTCGCGATGCTCGCCGGATTCGCGGGGCTCGCCGGTGTCGCGGGGCTCGCGAGGCTCGCGAGACTCCGCGCGGCGCCGCCGTCACTTGTCCTTGGAGCTGCGCCGCCGCCGCACGGCCGCCGCCGCGCCCGCTCCCTCGCCCACTGCGCCCAACAAACATACCAGGTCACTACTCATCCAAATACTCTAGGGTGGCAACGTGTTAGTCTCGGCATTGATGAGGGACTCACCAGCACTGCGAGTTTTGCGTCGTACGGGTGTAGCCCCGGGAGGGCCGGGTGGCCCGGGAGCGGGCGCCGGACCGGGAGGACCCGGGGGCGTAGGCCCGTGCCGCACGGAACGGCGCGTGCCGACGGCCTCGGGGGCCTTGGTTGGCGCCCGCGGACCGCGCAATTTGGTGACCTTGCCCCGCACCTTGCAGATGAGCGGCTCGTCACTGTCGCTGTCGGAATCCTTGCGCTTGGCGGGCTGCGCGGGCGCGGGCGGCGCCGGGGCGCGCGGCGCGTCCTTGCGCGGCTTCTTCTTCGGGCGAGCGTCGTCATCTGCGCTGAGCGTGGAAGCACCCGAGCTCTCGGACTCGCGGCGACGACGCTTGGCGGGCGGCGCGGCGCGAGGCGGGGGCGCGGGGCGCGGCGAGGGCGCGCGCTCCAGCTTGGCGAGTGCGGGGGAGTGGCGCGGCGTGCGCGGCCGCTCGGCGGGGCTACTCAGCTTGCTGCTGGACCGCGTGCGCACGCTGCTGCGCGCGACCCGCTCCAGCGCGGAGGGGGAGGGAGACTCCGGCCTCTTGCCCGCGTACTCCGGCGTCGGGATTTCGATCAACAGCTGTTCTAGGAGACTCTTATCCGGGAAGTCCGCCTTCAGCGGTAGTCTTTCTAACTTGGGTTCGTGCTTTTCGTCAGTCTCGCTTCGCTCCGTGGTCGCGTCGCCGTTCTCCGTTCGCTCAGGTCGTTCCTCTTTGATGTCATCGACAGGCCCGAGTTTCTCTTGATTAGAATAGGTATAGAGGGGCGGCGATACCCTGCTGGGTGGGGGATCGAAATCTTCGAGTTTAACTTTATCCCGCAGAGGCGAGGTATCTGCGCTGTCGGGCCGCGAAGTATCAGTTGGCGTTGTGGCAGCGGGTTGGTCGCGGGATGGCGCCGGATCTTCCCGCAAGGCGGGCGGCTCATCCCGCAGTATAGGGGTGGGGGCCCGCGCGGGGCCGGGAGTGCCGTGTACAGGAGCGGGCGGGGGTCGGCGCGGAGCATCGTCCCCGTTTACATGGTCGGCGTGCATCTTGGCGAGCTCTGCCTCAATATCGCCGAGGTCGTCAATATCAGGCGGGCCCGGCTCATACCGCGGCGGCCCCGCGGCTAGCGACAGACGCTCCAGTAGCTCGTCAGAGGCGGGCGCGGGCTCGATGACTCCGATGATACGCTGCACGGAGGCGGGGCTGGTGGAGCGCGGCATGTCGAGGCGCTCCTTGCGCTGGGGCCCGGGCGGGGATTGGCTGGCCTGGTTGGGTGACTTCTCGGAGAGCGCGTCCATGGACTCGATGCCGGAGTCCTCACCCTGCGCCTGGCTGGCGGGGGAACGGCTGCCGAACTTGTCGGCGTCAGGTCGCGCGGCGCGCTCGGCCACTAGCTTGCAGTAGGACTTGTCTTTGGGCCGGTCTTTCCGGCGCGGTGACGTGGGAGGAGACTCGGCGCGACTCGTGGGTATCGTGCCGACGTTTGTCGAGCCCGGAGGTTCTGTAATGAGCCAGCACGTTAATATGCAAACAATAGTCAATTTTATTGTAATAAAGAGATCGCGGAAAGGACTACAAAAAGTATGAAACTATTCTTATTCTTTTTTGATACCTTCTTACAAGCAAAAGTGGACATATACAGTATTTTATTATATTATATAGAGTGTTTGGTTATGATATTGAATTAGTATACAAAGTTTAATCAACATTGTATTAAATAATCAAGTTGAAATGTCTAAAAGGCTAAAGCTGTGAAATTGTGACACCATCCAAACATACTTTAAGATCCGCCTGTGGCTTTGTGCCTATTATAGAAATTGTTTATCTTCAGCAGGATTTAAACTAGCGTTTTTTACTAGATTAGGTAGGTACTAGGTTTTGGTTACCTTAAAGGGTAAATCTTCCGTTTAGTAGACAAATCATGCACACAATACACTGTCGAGAAATAACTCTGTCAGTCTCTAGTTGGCAATTTTAGCTTACTTTAAATTCAAAACCGACTGGAAGAATGACAGAATTATTTGAATCATACAGAAATGTTTTAGGTACTCACATTTATACTTTCGAGTTAGTCCAACGAGTTTCAAGTAATTAGGCGGCGGTGTCGTGATTCGAACGACTTTTTGCGACAGAACAATGTAATACCTCATCAACAGCACTTAATGAGGTACCTCTACCATGTTCTGTGTTCGTATTTTCTTTACATCTCACATAATATTCTTTAACATAGTTGAAACATTTGACTGACCTGTACAGGAACTGTGGCTGACCTTCCTCTTCTTATCAGAGGTGAGCAGACCATTGGGTGAGGTAATAGCACTTTCGGCGATTGTCCGTTTCAACTTATTGTCATCTTCGGCAACGCGCCGCGACTCCACGAAGTGTTGGGAGTCGGACACGTCGCCACTAAGCGTCCACTCGAGGTCCTTATGACACTTCATCAACCTACTACTGTCCAACTCACTAGCACCGGTTTTACTTTCACTATCAACATCTGATTGCACTGTTTTCCCCTCTGACTTGACACTATCACATTTCACTTCTGTTTTAGGTGTAGGTAACTTCTTCTTCGCGTCGTGGTTGTTTGGCTCTCTGTAGCCCTCGTTTTGCGCGTACTTCCCTTCCTTGTCTAGCGTGTCGTTCCTCCATTCTTTGTCTCGCTCCTTGTCTGAAGATTTCCCACTCTCGTTGAGTATTTTTAGTTTCTTCTTCATTTTCAGGTCTAAGCTCTGCACCTTGTTGTTTAGTTTGTTGTAGTCGTGTGACTTGGTCACGATGTGAGCGTTTTTAGAGATAGTCTTCATTCTATACACAACATTGTTGTCGCCCGGAATCTCTGTCTTCACGGCGTCGCCCTCGTAGTGATTGTTGAGCTTCATGCTTTTCACATTTAAATACTCTTCATCAGTCTTGTTCTCAGTGCTTTCACTAGATTTTGTGGCTATAGACTCTTCGGAGTCTCTCCGATGTGACTTGTCATCGGATTCAGAAGATTTCCTGATTTTAATCTTCTTTGTGTGCAAGTCACCAGGGCCAAACTTTTTCTTTTCTTTCTTCGAGTTTTTTATAACGGCTGAGTTCCGACCTCGAAGGCTTATATGGAGTGGCGGGACCCTAAGTTCCCCGTCGGTTGGCTTTTCGCCTTTTTGTTGATTGACAAAGCTGATGTCTGCTTTGTACACTGTTTGGACCACTGGTTCATTCTTGTCGAGTTTTAGCCTGAGCTTGATGGATTCTTTTTCAGTCTGTGGGGACTTGGGGGCGTCGATTGCGGGTGCAGGGAGCTTTAAGGGCGAAGGGCGTGATAAGGCAGCTTTGGTGGACTTGTTGTCTCTGACGATCTTGTCTTTGAGCGTGGCGGGTTTCTCTTTAGCCCCTACAGTTCTGGGCTTTCCGCCTTTCTGTGCGAGTTTATCATCTCGATCTTTCTTGACCAGCTTATTTCTCATTCTTAGGTCATCGTCGGGTCTCCGCGGGTCATCGTCGGTAGTCGAAGACTTCGCGATGCCGAACATTTCGGGTGCAGCCTCTACTGCTTCTTTAACTTCACAGTTGGCGACCGTCACCTCTTCAACTTTCTTTTCCTGTTCTTTCGGCGGCGGTACATCATCGTCCCTCATAAGAGTTTTGATAAGGTACTGTTTGCTCTGCTCCTCGATCTCCTGCGCCGAGGCTTGCGAGCCCACCGTGGCGGTGGCTACCGACGTGGTCGCCCGGATGGGTAGCTTGAGAGGGGGAGGCATAGCTTGACTGGCACTGGAAGGGGGTGACTTGAAAGTGGGCGACGCGTTCTGCAGGTGGGGCGGTGTCTGCACGTGCTGCGTGGAGTTGTAAGCGTGCGCGCCGTGCAGCCCCAGCGCGCCCAGCGGGCTCTGCGCCATCGGGGGCGCGCCGTGCGGGGACTGCGCGCCGTGCGGAGACTGCGCCCCGTGCGGGGACTGCGGCACCGCGTTCGCCATGTTGTGATGGACTGCGTTGGCCGTATGCTGCACCGCCGTCTGCGTGTGTATCGCATTGGGCGGATGTATGGAGGTCTGCGCGTGCGGGCCCATGGGCAAGGCCTGCGCAGGCGGGGGCTGCGCGTGCTGTACCGCGGGCTGCGCGTGTTGCACTGAGGACTGCGCATGCTGCACCGGCGACTGTGTATTATTAGTCGTCGACTGATGTTCGTTTTCAGATTCTTGTCTTCTAAACTTGTTAGAATGGTGCGGCACGGGAGGTGGCGGCATAAAGGTGTCGGGTCCGTCGAACGATTCCGACTTAGAAGGCACGTCGTGGCGTTGCGGCTCCGTGTAGGAGCCGGGGTACTGGTCGCCCGTGATGTCCTGGAGCACGGAGTCAGGCGTGTTGTTGTGCGCGTTGTTCCCGGACAACAACATGTCGAGCTTGGCGCTGGCGTCGAGCTCGGAGATGGCCGAAAAGGCGCTCTCATCTAGGTTGAGGTCGTCGCCCAGCGTCGGCCCGATGAGGTGCTCCAAGTCACTGTCAGGGAGCTCTAGCAGTGCCAGTGAGTCCCGGTACGGCTCGTTCCAGTCGGGCTGCGATGTCGCCCGGGACGCTGCGCGTTGCCGCGCTATATATTGCTGCTGATACCTCTGGAACTCCTGGAATATGTACAAGCAACATGGTGAGACATTTTGTCAGTAAGAGAAAAATTTAAGACTATCATCACACCTAATTCTATTCAATGAACATAGTTATCAGTTACGCATAAAGTGAGTGGATATAAAGACTCACCTGGAAACTAGACTGCGTCTTCTGATCCATGGAGGCAGTGGGGGGCGGGAGTAGCGCCTGCAAGTCTTCAGGCGTGACTCTGGAGTGTTGCGCCAGAGGGGCGGGGGGCGCGGCCGGCGCAGGGGGCGGCCGGGGCCGTGCCCCTCCCTGCCGGTATGGGGGCGGAGGAGGCGGCGCGGGGAACGACACCGCGTAGCCCGGGCCAGGCAGCCTTCCAGCCGAGACCCCAGCCACAGCTCCAGCTCCCGTGGCCGCCATCTGCACGCGGTAGGCTTGTGGCGCCGCCCGCCGCACGAATGTGGGCGGGCGCGGGCTGGGGCGCGGCGCGGGGGACGCGGGCGGGGTGCAGGGGCCCGCCAGCGGGGAGCGCACGGACCCCGCCATGGGCGCCGGCGTACGTGGCGTGCGGTACTCCGCGAACGGTGGTCGACCTACTGCTAATTCAACCTGTAAACATAGAATAACAACCATATATTTTTATGAAACAAGGAACGGATTACTATTACAAATATTATTGTCACCAAAAGTCAGAAGTATTATATTTTCATCAGTTGACGTACCTGTCCATCTTCAAGTCGATCTAGCTTAGCTGGATGCTGCGGCGGTTTCGGCCGGGGAGAGGGGGCGGGTGCATCATTTTGCAGTAAGTTGACAAGTAGTGGGGAGGACATGGCGACCGTGGGAGGGGTAGGGGGTGGTCCGGGTGTAGCCGGCGTTGTAGGGGGCTGAGGGGAGGCCGCGGGGTACGGCGGCGGGGGACCGGGGAACGCTGACGTAGACGGCCGCGCAAATGGACCGTCTGCTTGCGGCCTTATACTGCTTGGAGGACCTGCGAGCCCTGGAATGTACAAGTTAGGATTGAGTTATCTGAGCTCTGAATGTATAGTAAAATTCTATATTGATGGAGTAAGGACACTATTATGAAAAAATATATAATATAAATGCAATGACTGAGTAATGCACACTCACCGAGGGTATTCTCCTTGCGGTGTATGACCCTCGCTTGCGTCATACTGCCGAAAGGAAACTCGCAGCGGTCGGTGGTCGGCGTGGGAATGTTGTGTGGTATCTTGCCGTCCATGGGGCACACGGTGTTGGGGGACTTGAAGCTGTCGGGCGGCGCCGCGGCGGCCGGCGTCTCCGCTGTACTACTGCTCGCGCCATCCGACTCGCTCAGTATGCGCCCGATACCGCCCAAACCAGCTAATAGCTCAGCGTTTGGTTGCGATCTTGACGTACTTGCATCTATAATAATCATTTTATTAAGTCAATAAACTAATAGGTACTTGCTTAACCTTTCGTCGGCCGGTATATGAGACACAACAGTAAACACATGGCGTAGATATGCGCTCCCGGCATATCACGGGTTTAGTTGATGTAAAATAACTAATACGATCACCTTAGACATTTTACAGTCAATGTTTAATTCTAAAAGCCCTTAGTTTACATACTTTACAACAGTAAAAAGGTGTAATTTAGAAACGGACTATAAAAAGAAGACTATTTGTAACAGGCGGAAAAATAGACAACCATACTATAGAGGCCAATTTTTAAAGTCTCTAGAGATAACTTTGGCCTTGCGAATGAGGGTGGATGACCCAATAAATGATGGTGTTTGACGTACCGTCAGGGTCGGTGTTGATCCTGAGCTCCGCGCCATGCTGCAGCCGCAAGGACACGGCGGCATCCCCGTCGAGCTGCACAGAGAGGATGCCGAGCGCGCGAAGCTGGGGCGCGCCCGCCGCCGCCAGCGCGCGCAGCCGGGCCGCCGCCGCGCGCGGCACCGACAACGTTACGCGCACCGAGTTCCAAGGCTCCACCTACACAACAACAACTCTATGAACATACTGCTAAAATACAAATCTTTTTTTGACCGAGGAAAATCATCAAATGTCTTCTTCTGCTCTTTGTAGATAGAAAGGCAGTGGTCAGACTATACAACTCTGGATAACACAATTGAATACAAACAATTCTTACATATTATAAATGTTACTAGTTCTATGAACGCGATAAATGAAAACTACGAATTTATAAATGATAAACTATAAAAAATCTAATTAGGTAGTACCGTGTTATGAACCTAATAAAACCTATGTACAAGAATACTTTTATATTCTATTGGAGAGGAACAATTCCTCAAAGAGCCTCTTCCAGCATAGATTATCATAACAATAGAGAATAAACTATTAAACTCGATGTAAAAAGAAGCACATTAGTCAACTAGGAAGTGTCGTTTGGCCCGGGAGAAACCAGCACGTAAGGTTGGCCCATAAAAATTTTGTTGCTGATTGGCCGAACCCGCCCAAATGGCTTCGCAAACTTAGCTTTTATGACGAAAACTCGCAAGCAATTTAATCGTGAATAGTACGTTTAAGTCGTGCGTGGCCCGCTTTACAACAAGGACTTATAAACTTTAGCTTCTCTATGCATAAATATACACAAAGTGAACCCTACTTTAAGTGTTAATTTAGCAAAAAATGCGACGTATTTTCTTTTTTTTTTATTTGAAAATCTGCATAAACTACTTTCAACTTTGACATTTGTCGGCATTATTTCTGCGCTTATAATTTATTGCGTAGGTATATTGATTCCAAATCTAATTTGTGCAACGGGGTCTAACATTTAATTTTATAATGTAATAAAACTGATTAATTAATGGAGATAGGAGGAAAGTGGGGGGGGGCGTTGCGTGTCTTAATGACGGCAGATTTAATTCTTCGAAATGATAAAATAATCTTGAATTGGTATTAATTAGAAAGGTTAAGTTCCAATGACCGGCACTTGACGAGCGTTTTGCACGTAATAGCTAAGTTAGCGGTTTTGTTTACATTTATTTGATTTTTCGTATGCTATTATCCGTATTTAACTTTCTGTTTTATTTGGACGTCTCCTGTTAAGTATAGAAACTCTATAATATTTTTTTTTACCAACATGAGTAGCGGAAATATATGTAATGTCGTAATAGTTGCGAGACGCGTGTTATTAATTTGTATTAGATTGTCTTAGAAGATAGGATATCGAAGGTATGTACAACGCGATGTTTATACGTATTTGGTACTTTTATGGCTTCAATCGGAATCCGTCCTCAGCAGTAACTGTAATTACTAAAATGAAGCTTATGTAATAAAATTCGGGTTTTTCCTCGACAATGTACACACGTTGCGTTAAATGAGCACGCGGGTGGACTGATGGTAAGCAATATCTGTCTTCCATTGTCACCCCGCAGCACCAAAGAGGTTACAAGTCTATTGACGGCCTTTTGAAGATTGTAGGGGAAGGAGAAACTTCAACTCTTGGTTCCTCCGCATAATATTCTTATAAATTATAAGAAATATGCCAGATATTTTGCATCACTTTTATGTTCGTGCATAGCGTTAAATATTTATCTCTAGAAAAAAAACGATCACTTCACATTTCTTAGTACAATTATAGAGAAAATCAATTTATCTTACTAAATTGCGACATTACCTAGAGTAACACTCGAATGAAAAAAACGAAGAACGTTGTTAATACTCTGTGAACAGTACAGATTAAACAAGTTTGGCGCCAAAATACACGTCAACAAAGTTAGAAATGAACAATATGATTAAAAAATACTACACAATTGACAAAGTACTTCTAGTAATTATGGTGATTCAACAAATTTGCAATTTTCTATGAATTTTTACACAAGTGCAAAACTCGTGTAACTTATTTATTTTCAGTATTGTCAAAGTTTTGTAAGTATAAAGTCTTTAATAAGAAAGTAAATTAGGGTATAAAATAGATTTAAAAAAATATAAATATATATTTTTGGAATTAAAACCATGCTACAAGAAAATCTGATTAAAACAAGGCCATGGAACAATTAATATTTTTTAATTGTTCCATGAACAATTAATATTTTTTATAACGACTGATCCAAAATAATCTACTATAATTTTGTACAAATCCAAAATTTCTCAATAATGGTTATTGAGAAATTTGTAATAAAATTAAACAATACTTTTTACTGTACCTATTTGAAATAAAATAATCTACTTAACCATGTTTTCATGTATTGCTAATATGTCCTCTCTGTGACCTCCCACCTTCCCCAGAAGTAACAAACACGTTAAAAATAGAACTCTTTTTTCAGAGATTGAAAAATGAGTCCCGGTCTCTTGTTGTTGAAAATTTGAATATAAAAGAAAGTTGTGTTAGGTACATTACTTACAACTCAAGAACGGCTGAACCGAAGAAGCGAACCGAGAAGGACGTAAGATAGGATAATAGCAGGGTATATAGGATAGGGTAGGTAGTGTAGAAGAGAAGTGTAGGTAGGTAACTAGGTTGGGTAGTTAGGTAGTCAAATGACGGTAGAACTTGTATATTATAAGTTACCTTGTTAACTTTGAGTGTGTGCGGATGCGGCTCGGCGAGCAGCGCCCGTAGTTCGCGCAACAACCGGCGCAGGCGCGCGGGGAACCGCGGGTCGCGCAGGTCGCCCTCGCAAGTCACCACCACGCCGCACGACCCGCCGCCCGCCGAGCCTAGCCCATCGCTGTCCGCTGCCATGCTGTCGAGGACAAACTTATTACAAATATTGCACACTGCAAAATATACATTCTTAAAAACAAATTTTATTATAATTTTAATCTAAATGAATTACAAAACAGTATTTACTATGATCAACCATAAAATTATTGACATGCTGAGATAATCTTGGCTAGATTCATGCCATAACCAATTCTTCAGGGTAGCGAAAGGTTTTTTAAATGTTACACGAAGTTCAATACTTTATTTTAGTAATTAGATCAAAATTATATTTTTTTTACTGCAATAAGATTTAGGTACTCTTTCTTAAAACTTAAAAAATATTTTTTAATGTCTCTCAATAATTATTAGAATGACATAAAATTTTCTAATGGCGAAATAAAGGTTAACACCCACTAAAACGGAACGACTAGGCATTAAAAGCTTAATCTTTACGCGCGACGCGGCATTTTACCGCGTAATATCACACGCGCGTGAGCCGGCGCAGCACTACACATAGAATCGCGCTGAAACTCGACGCTACATAGGTTGCGCGACCGCAGATTTTAAAGTAACAAAATAAATCAGATATGAATTAATAATACTGTTAAATACATAACTATTTATGATATATTTTTTTGTTTAGAGTACAATAAAAACAAATTGGTATGTTTCAAAATAAATTGTCTTTTTTTAAGCAACTCAGCAAAACAGGTTATGTATAGTTTTATTTATTTTCATTGTCATTGCAATACATCGAAACTTTATCATAACAATAAAATATAAGCAAGCACATTTATGAAACTGCTGACAACCAATGTCTACTTATTTAGAAATACTACTTATTTTTGGCGAAATGCAAACTTCATTACTAATAAACACTAGTAAACATAAATTAATAAAAAAATCAGTATGTTACAAAAAAAAAACATTAGATAACTTGTAACTTGCAGGTGAATTACACTTGAATCACCCCAACCACCTGTTACCCTTCCCACATGTCTATAGGGGTCATAGGAAGCACAGATTATTGTATGTAATACTAATAAAGACTTTTTTATGCAATAAAAAAATACAGAAAAAAGCTTCTTTTAAGAAAATATTTTAGATTTTTGTTTGCATTAAAACTACTTCCTTATAATCTTTTTGTTGACCCAAGTTTCCGTGAATAGGAACTTTTTGGACATTAACCTCATCAATCATCTGTGTTTATGTTTATGCTCTTTACACTAAACATATCATAATGTTCACCATCAATTATAAAGATATATTCTTCAAGAAAAATTAATTACAAGCATCCTTACAGAAAACCAAAAAACATAGTTGAGAAATTAATGATCCAGGGTCAAGAAAATCAAATCAGAGTGGACTATTTGTCTATAATAACTTGGTAACCTAGTACTTTCCTTAAAACCAGTATGAACTTATCTATAAGAGTAAATTGTTATTATTTTTATACCAATTAAAATTACAATCATGTGGCAATGACATCACACTTTACATCATAGTATGATAAGCACTTATACTAATATTATAATTGCGAAAATTACTTTGTTGATCTGAACATTGCATTACGGATGATATGTTAGTAACTGCTAAACAAATTTTTATTTTTATTTCTTTTTTATTATAGAGGATTTAATCTTTTCTTTAATTTCTTCTTAAACCAATTTTTATAGATATTGTTTTGAAGTTAGAATGTGTTATATTTTTCAGGACTATGTGGAATCTTGTTTAGATTAATGTTAAAACCTCTATGTTAAGCAACATTAAGAATAAAAGATATTAGAGATCTACAATATTATTATTTATTTTTGTTTAACTGTACAGGTAATGATAGTCAGGAAGAGGTAGGCCTCTCGTTATCACTCAATATTACCTACTCCTTAATTCATAAAATATTTTTATCAAATCAGCTGATTGTATTGCTAATAAGCACATGGTTTCAAGGTCACAAACAGAATTTGTTAATGAAATATATTTAGACAAATTGTATATCTATGTAAGATATACAATTTGAAAGTCTGAAATAACTTTTCTCCAGAAAAAAATAAATATACGTTCTCAGGGAAGGTTAATTAGGTTCTTTACATAATAACTGGAATATATATTTTCTTTGTAATGTACGTTTAAATTATTTTAATTTAAGAACAAATACTAATATCAGAGGTATTACATTCAAATTGGAAAATGGTACCACATAAAACAGAGAATTGCCCTACAACCATAATAAGTAATTAAATAAACTTAACCATTGCTCTGCTAATATTGAAAAATTAGTTCACCATTAGTAAAGTTACTAGAAAATAATTTAATATTATTCTTATCATGGTTTCGCAAGCAATCTTTAGCTACACACAAAATACGTAAACATACTGATATAAAGGCTTATCTCATTACAGTGAAACCCAACCCTTATTTAAAAAAAAACTACATGTTTAATGGTCATAAATACTGTGATAGATATGTATGTCATTAGAAATCTCTTTTGAGAAATTGTTACAGTAATTTTTTTTTTTGTTTATTTAGTTGTGGACTTAATTTGTCAATATTTAAAATTGATTAAATGTGTTGAGAAAAATTTGCCCAAAAAAAGCACTGAACCATTTAGTGATCCTCTTAAAAAAGATTAGGTAATGTAAGAAATAAAGATATCATTCATAAATAACTAAAATTCCAGTAAGTAAGCTAGCGGTGGACAAGGCTGCCTAGAAAAATATAAATCTACTCACTACTACTGGTAAAGAACAGGGTTTTTTTTAACGGTCTAGACCTGTGTTTAATATATAATAAGGTTAGTAACACAACACAATCCAATTTATTTAATGATTTAAACCCTGGCAACAACTAATTTCTCTGATTAATTACTCACATTGCTTATCATAAATTTTGATAGTTATGCTTTATATCAACTTCCTGAGATTATAGGATGTGGTTAACTAAAAACTTTTTATTGTTATTTACTTCATTTCTGTAAAAAAACATTTTGAAACTATGTACAATTTTACTTCATGCATATTCTATAGTCAAATTACAATTCTACATCTCAGTGTAAACTCAATGCAGATAAAAAAAAAAAAAAACAAAAATATTTAAAACAAGTAGTTGTGTACTCAAAGATCACTTTTATGCATTTAAATGTTTCAGACATCTAAAACCATCTATACAATGGATTATTTGTTGATGATGTAAATTAAAAACTAGTTGCATAATGATAATAATAAATAATTTGTTCACCAAAAATGATTTATTTTACTTTGTAACAATAACTGCTACCCAGTAAGTTGTATATCTCACTCAATCTAACAATAATCCATCATGTGTTACTCAAATAGGTTATGTGTTTTGTCTATGGTACTATTTAATTGTTAATTTGTTGTGAATGAATCTCATTGTCCCTTTATTACCTTAAAAATTAACTATATTTAATTACATTGTATGCAAAGATGTTGTGTTGTTGAGTGCATTAGTGAACTGTGTTAACCTTTTAACACACATTTGACAGTTTGCATTATTTGCAAACAATAAAACGTAATAGGACGAAAATAACAATTTCAAGTTTGTAAGAAAGAGTACCTAATCGCATACAGGTGCAAACCCTTCACAGAGCATCCCACTCGGCGTGCGACAAGCACAACTACGTATCGACAACACGGCGGCATGTTACACAACTTTGAAAAATCTAATACTTTGACACTGCTGCCGAGTTTTTCGGCTGTAATCGGCGCTTTCAGGCAGCCGCAGCGCGGGGCACGTCTTCGCCGGCCGACCGACGTCCTGTCACCCACCAATGTGTCCATTTTGTAATGAACATTGCACTACCCAACACCCCGCCGAATGTAAATAAACTAAAAAAATTACACTCACCTCTCATACAATGTCACATTCCGCTCAATTCCACACAATTTCTATTCCCTTGTGTCCCAAATCATGATGGAAAATCAAGCGCAACATTACCGTCCGGCTCGGACGCAAAGCAATATCGTTCCTATGGTCAGTGTCCACTCTACACCAAAAACATATGACACACCACTACTGTCCGGGTTCAGGTGCTCCCGGGAAACTGTCCGGGACTTATTTTTGCTTTTTCACAGACGATCACACGACTAGAATCACTACAATATCACCACGGGTCGAATTTACTGAATTATATTCCAGTGACGCAAAGCTCATATATCGTGAAGAGCAGCAGCCATTTTGAAATGTACGGGGAGAACAGTCACAGCATGGAACATTTGTAAATTACAGCCGTTCCCGTCTCTTGCTACACTCTAATATTGGAGTGATAGTTGAAAAACTTTATGCAGTTTCCATTTTAACACTTTAGGTCACAGAACTTCACTCCATTTTCTTATTGAAACTATCCAAAACAACCTAAGCGACATCCGATAATTCCAGCTTACCCCATTTGCATGACACACATAAAATAGCAAAAAAACACTAAAAACACTTAAAAACGTACATAAAACGTGTCGCGCCGAATTATGAGAAGTTAAAGCATCGCATCAGTATAACAGTCCATTAGAAAAATCGCTAAAAAGATTGGTATATAATTTACAAATAGTTAATTCGGTACGAACAATAACAACGGCCGCCATTTGCAATTTTCAACTTGACATGCGCACTGACTCGCAGTAGACAAACATACGTGACGTAGCTTTAGACAAGCGTTATTTCATATTTTTTAATTTTTATTTTATCGGTAAAAAAATATTTATTTTAATAGTTACATAAAATAACTGTGCATTAATTGCAAATACGTTATAATATCTGATCAAATTAAATTAATTTCATGTAGTTATTACTTATCTTTGAATTTACTTCGCTGTTTCAAAGTCATATCATTACCCTTTCATGCTCCACTGAAGGCTACTTTTGATTGGTAGACGGTGTTATCTCCATGTTTTTACAATAAAATTAGGCACTATGATTGGCTGCCGCCATGAAACGTGATGAAACGAATCACTTCCTGTTGCTAATTATAATTTTAAAATATTTTGATAAAGTTTGGTACGCTTAATTTTTCACCCATTTTAAATATATTTATATATTTAAATATTCATGTAAAAATGAACTGGGAATAAATTTTATTACTACAATGGATATCAATCCCAAGTGAAGAGGTGTCCTATTTGAATATTTGTCTCGGATTAAATACCGAATAATTACATCAGGAATTCCTGATGATGAATTTAGTATAATTTCACACCTTTTTACTTGTGCTTTGTCACCAATTAGGTATATAAAAAAGAATGACCAAGATCAGTAGTAGGAAATCGAAATAATTTCGACTTAGGCTGTGAAGTTATTTTATTTAATATCATACACAACATGATCTAGTCATATGACTGGATAAAAATGTTCAAAATTATGAAATGCGAAAACAAAGTATTTTGTTTGTTAGAATTATATTTTATTCAAATGTTCCTGCTGCTTAAGTTTGTCTTAAAGTTTCAGCTGGGACTGATTGAAACAACCCTTTCCTCGCCATTTCGTCAGCCCAATCTTCTAATTCAGCTTTTCTGAAAAATGAAAATTGATCAAATTGTAATTGCAATTAATCTAATTCAAGTGTCACGACATTCAAGGGTCGATTTTTTGTGAGAGCAAAAAGCCACGGTAAAATATTTCTTCCTATATACTTGACTACAATTTGAATTCGACTAAAATCTACTCTGTTTCCTTACTATGGCAATACCAAATCATCAAACAACATGAAGACAGCAACACTGGTCACAGAAAAAAAGTAAATGAATGAAATGAACAAGACAAGTGTGATTGATGCAGTAAAATTTATAAAGTTTCTGCAAAAAATATAAGACTATCCAGTATCTATTGACATGTGATAAATAGTGTTTCCATTTTCAAATATAGTTGGAGAATAACTGAACGGAAATCCTACGTTTTTCCGATAAATAAACAACTGTTTTGTTGACTTTGCAACAAACACTTCTGAATGTAAGTATTACAGTGGTATTTATATAAAACTTAGGAATATTATATATAAGTTAACTCTACGACTCAATAAAAGTTCCCTTCATAATAGAAAAATCATTTGTAAAAATTCAGCATTGTACCAATAAAGCTGGTAGTAAAATCTGTATTTTTAGCAACAGTTAGTGAAATTCATGTTCGAATTGTGGAAAAAACATTTATATATATGGTCCAGATGTGTTACATTAAAAATACACAGTCAGTTGGTAAATAACTTAACAATTTGTTGAATGAAAAAGTTTGGCTATTGAATGATATTAACACTAGTGAGCCATTACTTTAATGATTTAGGGGGTTTAATTAACAATTAGGCGGTTAATATACGTTGGACATTATTGTATCAGATACTACAGTTTTCTTTTTTTACTAAGAATTTAGGTAAAGGAATAATGAGGAAGCCAGTTGTCAAACAAAAAATAACTACTATAATTTTTTAATAACATTTACCATATTATACCATAGCAGCTTTTAATGGGTGTGTATTTATTAAAGTTATGAGAAACATTTAAGTTGCTGTTAGATTATCAGTCTTATTTCACAATGACTTATTGGTCTAAAAATGAATGATTTTCTACCATAAAGAATGGCTGAAGAAAACAGTTATGTTACTCACTCTGGATATCTAAAACCCGAATAACACAATACCTACACTAAACCTTACCAGTCATCATGAGGCAAATAGAACAAGAAATATGATAAGAATCAGCACAAATATATTCACAAGATCTCATGAATGGGTGGTTCACAATACAAGGAGGATGTATGCAAATAGTTTGCATGTTATAAGAAAGGAATTGACTTGCTAATGGCTGATAAATAATCTGTTACACTGGTTGTTATTTTCAGAGCAAAATTGTTATGATTTAAAATTAGATTTTCTATTTGTTATGGGTTTATTGAATTGAGGATCATAGTTCATTAATTTTTTTTCTTTATGATGATGTGTTTCCTTTTAGCTAATGGTATTTGTGGATGGTTGATAATTTTAATAATATGTTAATGAGGGGGTGTATTTGTATTGTATTTGGTTATAACTACAAATATTTAACTCAATGTTATATTTGGCCACAGAAAAAATTCAAATGCTTGTTGTTCATTCTCTTCCAAATCTAATCTTTAATAATGTTTTTTTAAGATTTTCTGTAGCATTCCTTATCCTCAAGCTTCTCGCATTCTTATTTATTCAGCGGGCTGATGATATTGAAACGCTATACTAACTAAATATTTCATTGCCCAGGGAGAAAATGATTTTTATATAATTTTTAAACTACTGGCGAAGCTGGCTGAACGCTAAGCTATGGGTGAAATAGTAAAATTCTTACGCATAGAAGTCCCTGTAGGCCTCTTTCCTACGCAGTCCCAAGAAAACGTAGACCAAGGCTCCAGATATTGCCGACGCCAAGAGAGCTTGGGTTAGCTTACGCTTCGTCTGAGCCCAGTGCAGGCCACGCATTATTGGCCTGGAGTGGCATGGGGGCGGGAGTGGTGGTGGTGGGCATACTGAAGGGCACGGCGGATAGGGGGGTGGCGGGCAAGGTGGACACGGTGGCAGGGTCGGGTCACAAGGATTCATTGTGCTGGAAGAGGAATAGGGTTCTCATTTTAAACTTAAAATGTAGTTAGAAATTAAGATTTACTTTTGTGTATTGCTTCTATTTAGCGCCGATTCTCTTGCAGTCATTATAAAGTTGCCAATGTATTTTGAATAGCTCTCTTCTATTTTCCAGGTACCCTCTATAATTAAATATGGCCCAAAGTTCACATGGAGGTAGTCACCGGCGCAGCAGAGATCACGATGGAGGTGCCATGCGGTACACAAACACTGATTGGGAGGCCAAAGAAGCTCTCTACCAAAGAGAACTGGACGAAGCTAGAGCCAGGGCCACGCAGATGGAGAAAACCATGCGATGGTGGTCTGACTGCACAGCTAACTGGAGAGAAAAATGGAGCAAAGTACGCAACGAAAGGAATAAAGCGCGAGAGGAGTCTAAACAATTAAAGAGTAAAGTAGACGCGCTCACCAAAGAGCTGACCACGTCCAAAACAGAAAAGAATGATTTAGAACAACAACTTATAGAACTGAAGAGAGACAACGAAAAGCTTTTAAGTTTAGGAGAGAGTAGGATACTAGCGGGCGACCTTACCACTGAAGACGGTGTGGAGTTGAGGCGGAAGAACATGGGATATTTGTCGCCAAATGAACCTTCCATACGGCAAAGAGCGTCGTTAGACTCGCACAAATTCTCAAACGTAGATAATGTCCTTGCGAACAAATTGAGCGAGCTCAGGCTGCGGCTAGACGAAACTTGCAAATCCCTCCAAAGCGAGAAAGATGAAAAAGCATTCCTACTTTCAAAGATCGAGAATCTAACAGCAGAACTGCATAATACTAAGATGGAAATGGCCCACAGCGATAGAACGTTAGGATCAACAGATTCAAGCCATAGCGAAGTGGAAAGGCTACAAAACGAATTGCAGGACGAAATAGCAGCCAAACAGGTTTTAGAAGAAAAGTTAGCAGAACTTAAAATGGAGATAGAAAGGCTAAAATCTGAGAACACAATACAGTGGAGCAAACGAGAACTACTCGAAACAGAGAATATAGCAATATTGAGAGAAAATAAAAAGTTATATAGTCAAGTGTGTGAACTAAGGGAACAGATACATAAACTCAACCGAATATCAGACGGTAGCGCTTACTTCAGCGATCACAACAGACTAGATTCAAATATACTTTACGTTCGAAAGACTAGCGCGAGTCCAAGGTCCCACGAATCAAGTAACGGCTCGTCAGAAGCCAATTTGCACTGTGACGCTAAAACAAACACCTCGGGCGAAGACGATGAATTAGCAATAGTGGAAAGAAACGATAATTGCTAAATAAATACCTTTTGTCAGCTTATTTCTTGATTCGTAGCGAGAGCACAAGTTTATCGAGATCCTGTCAAAATTGAATTTAGAATGTGTAGTCAGTGGTATACATAATTTATTCTTCTTTGAAATTAGAGCGCGAAGTAGTTGAAAGAGATTGTATTTCAATGTTTATGGTTCTCGTGGATGAGTAAAAGAAATAAAATTGTAGTTTCTATTAGTACCTACATGGAATAGAGATCTCATTGGCATAGCTCGATTTAGCGGTCATCGATATTATTTAAAGTATTATACAGACGACTTTATGTAATACAGGGAAAATAATATGTATCTGTCTGGCCAAGTTTAAAAGTTAATTCACGCATATTACCAGGGTAAACATGATATAGAAGTTACACAGCATCTGGTAAGTACCGATAATTTTCAAAGACTTCATAAGCAAATAGCAACGTTATAGAAAGATTTCAGTATCACGCGAGTCTTTACGGCCTAGTCTTATTTATAATTCCGACTTCCGATTCCGTAGATCGTAAAACCCGCCAAATTAATGTGTTATAGTTAGATACGAAAATAAATTCGCGCCAAAATAAACGAATGCATTTAGAATCATTCCATTGCGTTCCAAATATGAAATACGTATTAGAAGGTACCTACAAAATATAAGTACCTAATTTTATGCTTGAAATAATAATAATAAAATTAGGCGTCTAGTTAAGGTTATGGTGTACGACTTCATAAAATATTTAGTTTTCGATTCAACTGGAAATTTATTTCACATTAATTGACAGAGTTGTAAGTACTTGGCTATTTCAATTTCGCCACAAATTTTTCTTAAACTATCCGTACCAGTGGTTTCACCGCGTTGTTTAAGTAAATATAGCCTATGTTCACCGGGCATAGTGTAACCTATTCAATTCAAACAAAGAATGAAAACATTTCTTTTTGTAACATTATCTTAGTATAGAAAACGATTTTTCAATCAGTTCGTCCTTTCGTCCTTAAACTGTTTGTTATTTCATGTAAATCTAATAACATTTAGAAGTAACACAAGTAGGTGACCTTACCTTGACGCCCTAGAATAAAGGAATAACCTAATGAACTAGATACTTCATTTACGTGATTAGAACGAATATTACACGCGTTAGTGATTGTTGATCATTGTGATAGTCTAGTTTTACATTAACATGACTTTTAGACTGAGGTTAATATGTGTCGCTTAGCATCATTGTTATATCACATAGACCATCCTCAACAGTGCCGGCGTTAGTGGGGGGAGGGGGGAGGATGGCCCAGGGCGACGAATTCTGGGAGGCGCCAAGGTCTGAAGTTGGAGTCTTGCCTCTCCTGGTGCAAACTCTCAGAACTGTACTCTATGCTTTTTGCATATGCATATTTATATTGCGATTTTTTTCAATGGATTTTTTGAGGGTTTTTGGTCGAGGAATGGCTTGACACGATCATCAAAAAACAACACTTGATATTGCTTCCCTTAAGCGGACGCCACAATATTTTCGCCCGGGGTGTCAGTGGCCCTTACGCCGGCACTGATCCTCAATGACTTCCCGACCTTTATAAAATATCCTCCATTTTTAGTAGTCTTAGGAAATCATCTCTGTTTATGTTTATTGAAAGTAACGAACTTACGTGAGTTAGTAAGAAAAGCTCTACGAAAGCCAACCAGTTGGCTGCGCGTTGTCGCCACGACGCGCACGCTGCTCATGAGTAAGAGTCCCGGTATGACTTGAAACTAGTAGAGCTTTTCTCAGTAAATTCTCGTAAGTAGTTATTTTCAATAAATTTAGTATGTCTCACGATAATTACTATTCTGTTTATTAATATAATCTGTATAGAACGGTCAAGTCAAAGGTCATTTTAAGTTTCCCTACCATTCTGAAGTTTTGCTTTACCGTTCAGTTACCTTCAAATAAATTAATACCCACTTACTTACTTCATGCAATAGTTACGTGGATAAGCCAAAATTATATGTTGTGTTTGTGATAAGCAGTTTTTTATGAATTAAGTACATTCAAGATATTCCTTTTGAGTAGGTACTATTTTACGGTGGAATTTTATTTACCATAATTTATTATCAATGACAGGATATCGGCTACTAAACTCCAACTTTTGTGTGATGATTCTAGATAATCCCCTGATGATTTCTTGATAATACGGTTGGTAGCGATCTGCGTTCAACGAATCCATTTATTTCCGAAGTCTTCCTAAAACGTCTTCAAAATATTAAGTAACATTATTACAATAAGTGGTTGCTATTTTTGATGTCAATAATAAAAACCTCAATGGCTTCCTTCCATATCATAAAACAATACGCTTTGTCGTGTTTGTTCGCGTTAAACTCAAAAACTATTGAACGAATTTGGATGGGATTTTTCAAAGTAGATAGATATTGATTGTGCTAAGCGATGTTTATTTATCTCGGTCTAAATGAATCCAGAATTAGTCCACGTCAGTGATTTATCTACAAAAAGCTCAATTTAAATAAATTCAATTGTCTTACATTTAATTTGGTTGACCAATCATAATAGCAGATTCGTTTCACTTTGCTTCAATTGGTTTTTAACATGTTGAATTAAAGTTTGAATAGTATAACTATCGGACACATGTACATAAAGTCTATAATTGCAAAACATCGAGAGTATGGTAATTTCATAGACTTGGGCTGCTTTTCCTATCATACTAATTTGTACCTTAAAAAGGGGTGAAGAATTGGCATGTCAGAGAAAAAGTTCTAAATGAGAACTCCGATAGTTACGATACAAATATTACGAATATTATAATATAAAGAAGAATTTAATTAATCAATATTTAATTTAAGGCCTAATTTGCTGCGTAATTTGTGTATATTTTTTTTTAAGTTATTTATTTGCTTAACTTGCCCTTAAGAAACAGCTTTATGATTTCTAATTAATATTATGAATTTATTATTTTTCAATAGTGTGAATTATTTTTACCCAAGTTTTTATAATTTGTATGTATTAATAAATAATTGGTTATGTATTTTAGTAAAGTTGTTGTAAAAGTTGAGGTCATTCATAACTAGTAGTAAAGTTTAATCTAAAATATTTGGATAGAACCAGATTTTGAAGAAAACTTATATAAAAATCTCTACAACGATTGAAATCGGATAATAACTTTGCCTGTTCAATCAATTACTTACCCAAGTTTAACGACAACTTTACTAAAAAAAAACTTACAAAAATAGTGTAATTTTTGTCAAATTCTTCATTTCATTTGAATTGGCCTAAGAAATCAAGTTCAAAAGGAAGTGTCCTACAATGAATATGATATAAAATTGTATAGTTATAATATACATAATTATTAGCTATCAATAAACAAAATATGTCGTGTATTAAAAGTTTTTGCTGTTTTATTGTATATTTATTATACACCTGGCAGCTTTTCTTTTTCCCCGCTGTTCGGTTCCTATTGGACATAGCGATGTTTTACAGCCCTCCTCAATAAATAGGCTATACAACACAAAAATTGTTAATTTCGAACCAGGAGTTACGGAGATTAGCGCTCTCAAACTTTTCAGCTTTATAATGCATGTGTGGGAGAGCCATGCTTCGGCCACCGGAGTGATACCACGGCCACACAGAAAACCGGTGTGAAGCAACCGCAACGTCGTTTTGCCGTGTGAGTAACCGGAGGCCCAATCCTTCCCCTCCCCCAATCCCTAATCCCCAAAAGATTGGCAACGCACTCATAACTCCTCTGTTGTTACGGGTGTCATGGGTGGCGCTGATTGCTTACCATCAGACAGACCAAACAACACTTGTTTGTCGACATAAAAAAAATCCTTCTCTGAGAGGTGTGCAATATTTTATCGCCTACACACTAGGTATAATGATGACAGGTATAAAATCAAAAATCCACATAATCCGTCAGTTGAATAATGAAAAAAAAAATAGGTAATTTTTGTATGTTTATTTAAAAAAATAAACTGTACAATCTGTTTCAAGAGAACGAAGAAACAAATATATGTACACATAACATAAGTTATCACAGAGAAAAAAAGATAAAATAGACTTTAGTTTTACACTAAAAAGTAACAAAAATCACAGTGTTGCCAATTGCGAACAGACATTTATCAGCCTCAAAACATTCTAGGTACTTACTATTTTTAAATTATTTATTTTTCCCTAGTAGTATCAAAGTTAGCAACAGGTAACATCCCCATCCGTTTGAACCTAGATTTCAAAATAGTCTTTTTTAAGTCCCTTTTATCTTTGAATACTTCTTGATTAGTTGTATTATCAGGGCTGCCTGAGGCAGATGATGGTGAGGGCTGATTTAAATGATCAATAATTTCAATTTCATATGTCTGCATTTGGTCTTCATTTTGATTTATTTCTGGAAGAGAGTCTATTTGTATATCCACAGCTTCAGTAGTAGGCTGGTTGAATGCAGCTAGGTCTAGGATATCATTGTCTATATCTTCCTCAGAATCATTTTTGACTGTGTAGTCACTATCGTCAGAATTATTTCCTTCTTTCCTGACCCGCTTTTTGGCTTTATTCTTAGGGTTTCTGTAAGTTTTAGGGTTTGATGTCTTCTTTACTTCTGTTGCTTGTTGATGTGATCTGTCGAACAATAGTTTTTATTTTAAGTTATATAAAATAAACTCAGATTTTTCAATTACAATTATTGAGAGGTTATATAATCATTCGCTTGAAATTAGTCGAGTTAGTTACATGGATACGGTAAAGCATGTTGTGAATAGTTTCCACCCACAGCATCGCCCTTTGTGTTAATCCAGGTTGTCACCTATCTACATATCAAATTTCAAGCAAATCGGTCCAACCGTTTTGCGTGAAAGATTAACAAATATACTTCCATACATTCTCACAAACTTTCACAATTATATAATTAGAAGGATAATAAAAGTGGTTTTGAGTACCTAAAACATTTTCCCACCAGTAAGAAGAAAATATTTGGTAATAAATTATTTGGATGAATACACACCTGGCCGCAACATCCATTCGATGTCGTAAAGGCTTTACCTTGGCTTCCATTGCCTTCTTCTTAATACTTTTAACTAGTTCAGTACTGGTGGTGGAGTCAGCTGGGAAAAATGGAAACAAGTGTTATATTCTCTTTTTGAGGGGAGGAAAGAGGGGGAATCATCAAATGACTTCCAGTCCTGGACGGAAGGGGTTGGTGACAGACTCTTACTGACATACAGGCACCCCGCTCCTTCAACTTCTTCGGACCGGGACGCATCACACCGGCTGGGTGACTTATTCCTCTAAGGTGTAGAAAAAGCTCAAAAATAAACGAATTACGACTTCGTGGCCGGCCTTAGACTTAAGGTAGGAGAAGAATTGGGCGAGGGAAAGAAGTATCCTCCGATAACCTCGCTCACACTGCGAAATACAACGCTGTGATTGTTCCAAGTGAAGCCGTGTATGTAGGTGAGCCAAGCTTCGGACCGAATGGGTCAGCTGGGTCGAAACTTAAAACCGGCGTGAAACAACGTATTGTTGTGTTTCGCCGTATGTGTGAGGTAACCGGAGGCCCAATCCTTTCCGAAGCCCTCCTATCCAATCTATATCTGCTTTGGTGTTGTCCGGCGTAGATCACTTACCATCAGGTAATCCGTCTGCTCGTTTGCCTCCTATTCTACATAAAAAAGTATTTATGTCTTACCATCGTTAACATCATCAACCTCACGATCATCGTTATCGTATATCCCGCTGATGACGTTCCTCAGACTTGTGTCCAAGTCTATGGCGAAGTTAGGGTCCACATAGTTCAGGTCATCAGGTTTTACACCTAAAAAAAATAAAGTACATTTCCTACATTCTTTGGAAAAAACTCATTGCGCTTAACCCGTAGCCCCAGCTGAAGTTTCCTAGGCCTTGGACTTGAAATCTAGTATAGAAACCGTTTACTTCTGAATTATACTTTGGATGGAATATGCAGAGTATTAAATAAAAAGTAACAGAGGAATTAACAATACAATTTGAGTTTTTTTACCTCAAGCGCGTGCTAAACTCCGTGCTATTGCTGAGTATTTTGAACATGGAAAAACTCAATGATACTTTAAGTTATTCTTACTGATTATTCCGCCGAAGTCACTTTAATTAAGCGACAGTTTGATTAATAACAACTTCAAGAAAATTGCCCAACCTAGAAAACAAATTGCCCTACTCAGGAACAAGCTGAAAATTCACATTTCAGAAGTCATATCCTGCATGTTCAACAAACAAGGGGCACTTACCAGTAATATTTTCTTTAGCATTACAGTATCTTATCGTTAGTTGTTTCAGTTCTTTCAACAGGTCCAGCTCTGTGTTCTGACGGTAGAATACTCCTTTAGGTCGAGCGCCCTTCTTGTCCATACTGCCATATCCTATTAAATAGTTAAGCAATTTTAAACACAGTTACAATAAAGTTATCAGAATAATAAAAAAGGAAAGTAACAGAAAATACAGGCTGCCCGAGGACTGGACAACCAGAAGAGTATAGGTATATTAGGGATTTGTGAATTTAAAGGGGAGATTTTGGACTTCTGGTAAACCACATAGCAAAAATTCGTATTCATGCCGATTTTCTTTTCTCGATTATAACTCAGGTCGAACCTTTTGTGTTGAGGCATTACTCTACCACGCGAGAGTAACAAGTACCTTCTACTCCTTACCTTCTAAGTATTTTCTGATGGGATATTCCATGCCCCTTTCTCTAAGCACAGCTTGATACTGCACAGGGCCTTGTATAAGGACAGACCCGAGGATATAAAGCACATCCTGCCTCCGATCCCGTCTGGCTACAACTTCTATCCTTTGTATGGCCGGTAGATCTTCCTGGACTATTCGAAGATGCGCGAAGTTGGCATAAGGCTGCAGATTTAGTAGGCTGTAGACGAGAAACAGGCCTACTACTGATTCCTGAGAATTAAAAGGTTTTATAGTGGTTAGAATTTTGTTATAGTTTTATCAAAACTGGCATACTAAAGCCAAATATTGCTGCCTTTTTTGGGAAAAACCCGCTACAACCTCCCAAGCCGCTGAAACTCGTGTAAGCCAGGATCTAAAGAAGATACAACCATGAAATCACCGAAACACCGAAGTACGGCGCGTCCCAGGGACATGAATGGCTGTCTTGAATCTCGCAACGAAACACAAAAAATAAAAGGCACAAAAGAGGCTGTATAACGGGGAGAAGCAACGTCACCAAACACCACGGAAACTATTGTAATGGGACCTATATATTGTTGACTTGTGAATCAAGTTCGACAATTCTATCTAAATCGAATTTTAGTTATGAACTCATTCGTTTCTTTTATTCCCTCTTTGTTCTTCTTCACACACACAGACTACACAGGTTCTAATAAAAAGGAAAGAATGAGAGGGTATGAAAACAAACATAATAAAAAATAAAATAATATCAGATATGTAGGTATTTTTTCATTTCGTTCTGTATGAAAACAATAAGTACTTTAATAAAACGAGTAGTGATTTCACTTGATACTAAATTAATGTAAGTTTAGTCAAAAATATTTGATTTCCCAAGAAAATGAAAATATGTATTTATAATTTTGAAAAGCAGAAAATAAACTAAAAGCTGCTATTTATGCAATTATCAAGTGTTTACTACTATTCTATTTTTTGCAAGACAAAATGCCATAAAAATTCTCACCTCAAAATTGCTAGTATCAGCTAACATATAATTTTTGGCAATGTGTATGACTTCCTCTGTTAACTCGGCTATTTCTGCCCCTGAAGATCTGTTACTGTAATAAAAATAAAACAAGTTTATTATTTTTATATTTTTAGATGCAATACAAACATGCATTTGTGTGTCTTTTTAAATCTCTCTGTCTCTCTTGATGTTTCTGAACTGGAATTTTGCAAGTACATTTTGAAGTAGTTATCATCCATCTTGATGGACGATAACCTGCCATGATGGTGGCCAAGATGTGCATGACATTTTTTGTTTAAATTTTCAGTATTAATTAATCAAACCCCGTGCACACATTGTCATTGAAATGTTAAATAATATTTCATAAACAAATATGATAAGTATCTTACCGAAATATACAGGACATTTGCATACTTTTCCATACTTCGGAGAATATCTCAAAGGTGACAGTCCCAGCTTCAAGACACCGATGTATGAGCTCATCACAGTCATCTGTAAACCCATCCGCTATGTACACACTGCCCATGTGCTGGTGGTACATGGCTGATGAATCTGCTGAAATTGTAGTGTATTTTTTTTTTTTTATAGAATTTGAATACATTTTCTTCTTGCTCTTTTTTAAATCAACTTTCTGGTTTCTTTTATGAGCTTTCATGTGTTTATTTATATTTATAACATAAAGGTAAGTAAATTATTAACTTAGGCCAAATAAAACTTTATTTTCTATATTCTATAGTTACTGTAACTAAAAAATTTAAATTTGAAATATTTCTAAATATTGTAACTTTAATCAATGTTATTTTAATGTAGCTATAAAAACCACATTTATTTCTTGAATAAAGTCACTTAAAACAAATATCACATGATAATCTTCAAACATTAATAACTTGTATATTGTATCAAAACCAGTAATACTTTAATAAATAACTGATAAATACTACAAAAAAGAAATTGTAATTTAACTTACCTTGTTGGTAAACAACAAGTGGTAGTAATTATAGTCGACTTCTTACTTACGAAACTACCACTGACTTCTCAGTATACTTCTAAGAATGCCCACTTAATCCCTAATATTTCCAAATTTATTTTGAAAACGAAATATCCATTTTCCAACAGTAAAATTATTATAGATTAAATTATTATAAATAATAGAAAATCACAAATCAAACTCGCAAATTGAATTCCATTGACACGAGATTGTGACTTGACAGCTGACACATTTCTGTTTTGTTGTGTCAACAACTTTTAAATCTCGTTCATTTGTATCTTTAGTTTAAATGAACAAAACTTTTATCAAAAAATCATTCATTTAAAAATCGATGAAAATTAACTCGAATGATATACAAAATAAAATAAGTCGTGGCCCATAGCGTCGGAACATCTAAATCCGCAACTTTTTATAAGTCCATTAGGTAAAAAATACTCCTAGACTACTATACATTTGTCTAGTCTAGTCGTAAACGTCCAAGCAATACATTTCATAATCCAAAAAATCTACATTTAAAGCTAGGAGTCATGTCATAGTTGGAAACGAAAGAACGAATACCTCAATTACGTTGCAGAAAATTGGGACGAAACAACTTTATGTTTTTTCGCATGAGTCGAGTACCAAACTCTACTCGCTTCCCATCGCGATTTCGCAATTCTTGAAGTTTGGAAACGTAAATGTTTTAATTTTGGTGTTGCAATGTGCCATGGCCATGACAATCCCTATTGCTCACCGTAAGGTGATTGCTAGAAATTATAATCACTCACACAAAAAAACTGTAATAGGGCAATCTATAATAAGAAGGTACTTTAGGGTTTGGGCTCTTTGGCCATAAGAGAGACTGTTAAAAATTATCTATGGACCAGGTAGTTCCTGGAATTAGTTGATTTTGCTCGAGACGGTTTTGTTAAAGAGGGTTGGTGAGGAATGGTTTAAAGTCGTATTTCAGACCTTCAGTAACGTCGAACGTGTACGATACGATTCATACCAATCCTTTTTTTAAATGGCCCACACTTGGATTTTCTCCTGTGTCGTGTGTGTCTTTACAAACATACAATTTCACATACACATCACGCCCCGAACCAGAACAACAATTTGTGGATCACACACGAGTTGTTCCGTGCGGGAATCGAACCCGGGACACGTTGTGCCGCAGCCAGTTGCCCAGCCACCGCGCCAACCGTGCAGTCTTTAGCAGCAGCAGTTATTATTTAGGTCTTGCGACGTATCCTTTCCATAATCAATCTTATGGTAGATTTACCTATATCTTGTGAAGGCGTCACGCATATATAGGTAGGTAATAGAAGCACAATAGATAGGATATAAGAATCAATAAAAATAAAATGTCCAACGCCGTAAATAAGATTGTTTATTAAACTACACTGAACAATGGAACCAACAAATACACTTCTAACGCAAGGCAATAAAACACTTTAGTATGCTTACAATTATTTAATGATTTGTCGATTTCGGTAATTATGTTCAAACTAACGCATCATGGATGTTAAATACTTTATACACTGGCAGTGTACCGCGGAGGATGTGCGATGCGCATTATTGCGTGTTACACCACTACTATAGAAACTAAAATATTTAGACGCGTTTAGATGGGCTGCTTCTCAATCAGTTTGTACCAGTGGCCACACTCGCAGCGGCGGGGGTGATCCTGTAACAAAATGAAATAAATTATATAAATAATTTAGTATAAAACATTTCTGTTTCCTAACAGGAAAAAATGTACAACATACTTCCTTGCTTGCACTTGCAACATTAAAGTAATCATTTCTTAATACATGGCAATACCATAAAATAATTAACATCAATGGTTATGTATTGCCAGTTTCATAAAGAAAAACATTACATAATTTAAAGTAAATTTACAATAGACATTACCTTGTGTAACCAGAGCCAGGTGACGGCTGTGGCGTGCTCTTCACCTGTAAACAATCAATCGTAAATTCAAATACCAACATTAATAATGTCTTAGTATTGTCTTACAAAGTAACTAAGCACCTAAGACTAATAATTGTTCAACTTTGATGACATAGGTACAATAGATGCAAAAAGAAAAAAAAATGTACTTGTGATTTCATTCCTTTACCGTTAGCACTTACTATTACCTGCCCAAATTACTAAAATTATTTTCATACATAAATACAAATGAAAACAGAAGTTGTTTTATTTGTATGCACTGAACAAGCTCTGGAAATCCTTTACCAATAAATATGCCTAATATCACTGCAGGACATCTCTTTTTCAAGGAGTAATCACATGCAAGGTTATCTACAGGCTACTGATGGTAGTAGACATATATAGAATATCTTGAACTAGCTACTGTCCCCGGTTTCACCCGCTGCTTGGCTCCTACATATCGTAGCGTGATGTTTTATACCCAAAAATAAATGTTCAATTGGAACCAGTACTTCCACAGATTAACACATTAAAAAAAACAAACAGACTCTACAGCTTTATAATCTTATATATAAAAATGGATCGCAAAATGTGTTGATAAGCACATAACTCGACAACGCATGGACCAATTTTGCTAATTCTTTTTTTGTAGTGTTTGTTATTGTCAGGAGAAGGTTCTTATGATGTTTTTTGAAAAGTAGGGGGTATAGTTGGGTTTTAGGGACCCTTTCATCATAAGCGAGATGATGTGACCCATGCGAAGCAAGGGCAAGCTGCTAGTATTAGTATATAGATAAATTGTAATAAGTTTTTCAATGAACTCTGTTGCCATGGAGTAGAACAAAACATGTGACAGTTCTTAGACTGGCAGAATGCCATAATTGTCACAGTTCTCTGACAACATATTGATTGTATAATCACAACTATGATTTAATTTGCATGTTTTTTTGTTCATAACAGGCACAGCAATATGTATTTTGAAACCAATAGCTTGATATCCCATACACTAACTTTAATTCAAGTACTATGGGAAGGCTGGTTCCAAAGGTTATGGTATTTTAAAATGTTATTAATTTATTCAAATGGCTCCTTACCATATTGTTAATATTACGATTATATTATTTTATTGGTGTATTAACACATCCAGTGCCCCCGACGCGTATGTGCGTTTCTATGAGTGCCCTCGAGGGCACACAGAGTAGCGTAAGGAAACGCACATACGCGACGGGGGCACTGGATGTGTTAAAAAAAGAAAGGTATAAGAATTTAAGTAACAACATAATCTAATTAAAGTTGTGGTATTGGTTAGGGCCTATCTAACCCATTAGAGAGAGAATAAATTACAAATCTCTGTTTTGCATTGAAAGACTACAATTAAGTAAAGCAATACTTTCTTATATTGCTTTACTTACAAAATACGAAAAATCTCTTACATAATGAATGAGTGTAAGAAATAAAGGTACTTTGAGTATGAGTGTTGAAAAAAAAAATGAGCTCTGGTCTAATTTTCATATGTTTTGAATGTGTGTTAAGAGTACCTAATTTAAAAAATAACTTTATTAGTCTAAAAATTTTTGAGAAAGGTCATGACAAGTTTTTTGTACAGGAGATGGATGAACAAGATCATAAAATAAAATTTTCATGCTTAAAACCTTTTTGGTAATGTATTGACTAGCTTTTCAAGTGTTTTAACAGGTAAATGCATGCACTCAAACAATACCTACAGTTTATCAGTCAAGCATTTATTTAGAACCTACTTGGATTTATGTTGTAAGTGTTGCTGTGTGTGGCCAATCATAATTATTCTTTTTTTATAAACAAATGAGTATTTATGGTCACCTTTTCAATTGGTTTTAGCATAACTATGCTACTTTTATTTGTAGAACTTTTTTTAAGATCAATGATCATGTTAGTGGCTCTTTATTACTCTAGCCTAAATTGTTATTTTTATAATGTATTGTGTTGTACAGAAGATGTTCATACTTTCATGAAACTATGGACACCACTGACTATTGTAATGAAACACAGATGGCCAGAGTCAGTAGGGTATAAAAAAGTTTTCTATCCTTGAATGCAAAACTGACAGGCATAACCAAATTGTATTTCACTAATAGCTGTTTAGTTTTATGACATATATACAAGTCTTCACAAGCAAAATTAAAACCATAATGCAAACCAACCATGGTAATGTAATGTATGGCTGCATCAAAAATACTTGACAATAACTACTAACAATAAACCAAATCTCGCTACTTACATATGCACCCAACAATACGGGCATCGAAGCAAGAGGGCACTAGGGTGGGGTTGTCACGGGTTCCTGCGGCTTTCTTCAGCACCTTCATGTTGAAGGGATCATCGTTGCCAGCCTGCATGGCCAGCAGTTCCTTCCTCTCCATACCAGTGGCATGCTCCAGGGGATCAGGCATCACTAGTACAGATTAAAATATTAGATTTTAAATCCTGCAATCTTATTATTCAGAGCTACCTGAGAAGAACAAGACTTTGCTACCTATGATATATTTTTTTTTATATTCCTCTTTCATATAGGATGATACTTTGAGATTTTATGATTATGTCAGCATGTACAATATGAGTGAAATGACTTCTAGATGTGATTTCATATCCTTTTTAAATCAGTTGGTTAAAAATTAATTGTAAAAAGGCAAGTAAATGAAAAGTTATATTATATATTATCATGTAATGAATTCACAAGAATTTAGAATTAACAGGAAAATTATGTAAAATCATATATGGCTATTTATGAAATATAATTAAGTAATTTGTATCATTATAGATTTTAATATACTGGGTAACAATAAAGTTCTACAAAACAAACTAGGAAGTTCACATAAAACTGGCCCACTATTGATTTTTTAATCAGCTGTCAAAAAAGTGTGAATGACCTTGCTAGTTGGAACATTCCAATACTCATAGAATTCCCAATAATGTACAAATCGATGCTAATGTTATTTTGTACAACTACTCTACACAAGGACTTAATCTGAGATTAAAGTGATAAGCAAGATAACCTAAAATTCTGTAAGTTTTACGACATAACGATGGAAGGAACTCAATCCATGTATCAAAAGGGAAAATCATACGAATAGTTATTCGAAAGAGAGTTCATAATTTTCTTTTTTATTCATAATATATGAACAATAACAAAAATAATCAATAAAACGTGCTGACAAAAAATGACGTATTTATTTTTTTGTGTATTTGCTATTGGAAATAAATATAAAATGACTATTTTTTCATCATTTAATATGGATTTTTCTCTGAAATAGGATAATAATACTGGATCATTTCCATTAGATGAAATTTTACGGGAAATTTGACATTACGTAACTAAAGTGACAGGGGTGGCGATTCAAGTAAAACCTGCACTGAAAATATAAAGTTTTCTTACTTTTGTCAGCATATCCCCGTCGGGCAGTGGAAAAAAGAACACTTTTAAATGCATTTCCTCTAACAATTTGCCTGCATAAGGATGCCATTGTGCTGAATTTATCACTAGACCGCTTTTCACGAATGCAAGTGAAACAATTTTTTCGTATAAACTAGAGGTAGACCAAACCGTAATTTCCCGTCAATATTTTGTGCTACCGCAAAACCGGTATTCTTGTTTAGTGATATTTTCAATACGATTTCATTAGTTATACAATTGATATTTAGTTTTAAATATCATTTATCTTGCTTATACAAGTGTTTTTAATATTATTATTTAAGTTTCATTAATTTTTTGATGTTTTTATTGGTGGAATGGAGTTCTTGGTAGTTCTTGGTAGTTCTTGGCGCCATCTGTAGGGTAAACCATAAAGACTACTCGTATTCAGTGTGGAAGAGCCCTTCTTAGGTACGATCTGTATTTTCTATTCCGTGGGTACGATGGAGCCGGCCAAACGGGTTGAAACAACCACAACATTGTGTTTTGTTGTGTAAGATTATAGGAAGCCAATTCCATCAAGAAGACATACATACATGATCTGTATGTATCTATTGCTATACTTTTGATGGGCTTTTTAATCATATTACTAAAACGTCTCTACTAAAAACCGTTTCAAAGACTGGAATTAAATGGATACACAGATTATGGGAAACTATTTATACAATGGCTAGACGAACATAGTTCTGTTATTGTTATTATAACTACGTTTAGTAAACATTATATAGAATTAAATTTTCCAAATGTATTGTTTGATGTGAGCCCAACGAAGTGTATTTATTGATGTTAATCAAATATTTTTTTTTATTAAAAAAAATATAATTTAATAATTTAAAATATAATTTAATAATTAGGCCTTGAAGCAAACAATTGTTTTAAAAGCATTTTTATATTTGATTTTATTTTATATCTGCGAGTTAAAAATTTTAAAACAATTTTCGTATTGCGCTATTTATAAATGTGAGTTTATCTGTTACTGTTGTCTGGATAAGCTGAAACAAAAATGCATATGTTAAATATTTGAGAATATATGGACATACTTATATAGGACTACAGCAGTAAATAACACGAAACTACACTACACGAAAGTTTGATAAATACTTACTAACAACATGAAACGTACTTTCCGACGGGTCTTTACGATTTTATTAGCACATAGTACCAGTATAGATACTATTTTTGGACGAAATCAATTTCTTGTTCGACCGCTTCTCTGTATGAAACATCCCTTGAAAGAGTTTAGTCGAACATCTATTTCACCTTCCTCTAGCTGAAATATACACAAAAATATTGTCATAAAATACCGACACTCCCTTTGAATATTTCCAATAGTTTACGAGATCTTCATTAAATTAAGTCAATTAGTAAAAGTATCAAAGTATCAGTCGGAATGAGCAGGAACTATTGTTTTTTTTCAAAAACGAATAATACATTTAAATTTAATGGCAGTACCGCATCGTCTTGATAAAGTTCTCTGTAGCATGAAGGCGACACACATTCTCTGACACATCGTGTTTTTAAAAGTCCTGTAGTTTGACTGCATGCTCCGCTTTGCTCACATGCTGTCTCAAACTCTCTGAACGTCATTTCCTGAAAGTGGGATTCACAGTAAGTAATCTTCATGGATAATTTGAAATGCTGCAATTTATAAGTAATTTTTAATCAACCTACGTTTTTCGGTGAATCTTTGTATTGGTATTCTTTGAAAGTAAAAGCTACTGGAGATTGCTCAGCGAGAGTTTCTTGTACTTTATAAGTACTTAAGACAAAACAATACCCAAGGAAAATATTAAATATTGTCATTTTATAACACAAACAAGCAATGCTCTTAGACTCTTGGAAAATCAATAAAAATGTTGTCAGTCATTTCTCCTCATTCCCTTAGTTACTAAAATAGGTAAGGTCTTTTAAATGACCCGGAATGAAATAAAAAAAGAAACTGACGGCATGAATATAGTTAGTGCAAGTTATCATAATTGATTTCAGTGGTCCAGATTTATCACTTTTTAGATTTTAAGAAAATAACGTAAATAAAACCGTAAATAGAAACTAAAATCGAATTTTGCCTAGTCTCTAGTAACATCACATTATCAATAGGGATGGCTAAAGAATATGTATATAATCGACTAAATTATAATTTATAATTATTATCGCCTAAACGAATTTTTTTTTTTTTTATAAATAGAAAATGTATTAAAACTATCATAATAGTTATACCTTAACTAAAACATTTTAAGTACACGAATACCATTGAATCTTCATTAAACTATAACACAAAACTCTATTAATGTATAATACAGCACTGCACTACTAGTAATCACAGACAAAAAATAATTGAATTATTGTTATTGTCTACGATCCTACGATCTGTCAAACGATCGAAACGAAACGCATCGCGATAAATTGGATTTTATTATTGAATGGAAATATTGCGGATTTTCTTATTCGATTGCATTTTGAAATTTTCGGATCTACGTGTTCTGTGAACTAATTCAGTGTGTGCTTTTTATTTTGTTTTGTTTCTTTGTGTTAAATGAGGAAGTGACTTTCTACTGATCGGGGGGACAGGAATCACAATAACAACAAAAATTGGTGAGTTTAATTGTAATTATTTAATGTAATGTAATAACTATTAGTTTTGCTTATTAATAAAGGTTTATTATCAATTCTGTTATTATGGTAGTAACAATTGCGTCACCACGGGGATCGTAAAACAATACATGCCTCACTTTCTACTTATATCGTTTTCAAATTAATTAAAAAAAAAATATGTATTGTACTTAAAGCACGTTCCTCACAGTCAAATTATTACATGATTACGATGTAGTGTTTCGGACTTCTTACATGAAAACTAATTGGTGTTTTGTTTTAATATTTTTATAGTGCAGGATTGAGAGTGATTGTGAAAAAAAAGTAAAAGGCTGAATAGTTTTACAATGAAAGCTGCTTTACGTGTGAGCTCATGTAGAACTAGGCAATTAGTGCTGCAATTACTGGCAATAAGAAACTGATAATTGGGTGATATCAGAATTTTGCTATATCAGCTCTATTCATATCAGTTCTTACATGGATAAAGAATTTTTATTATTTTGCACCTTATTCTTTGGTAATATTATCCAATATAGCTTGTGATGTTACTTTTTAAATGTATTTATGTCTAAGCGGTAGATAATGCTTCAGGCATTGATTCCACCTACAATTGTGGTAAAATCTTTTAGGCAACACAAAATAAATAAATAATTCCTTTTTATTTTCAAATGGTATCCATACTTGCAAACTGATAATCTCTCTAGTCAATGTTATAATGTTAGTCTCCTAGGCACAACTACACACTGAATTAATAACTGCATATAGCAACAAAACTGATTTTGAAGCAAGACATACTATATCTAAAATTTGCATTGCCCACTTAATACTTACAATATTGTAATCAAATCAAATAAAATATTTAAAATTGTCAAAATTCAATAGTTAAAAATTCAATAGTTTTCTATAAATAACAGTATAAAACTGCATAATGTGGCATTATATTAAATATACTTTTATTTTCATTATTCTCATAATAATCCATTACTGAATAAACATTCTTAGCAAAATTAAATACCATCAAAATTAATACTTATTCTTACAAGTATAAGGTCTCTTTTATAACAAATTCAGCTCTATGCCGTATCCACATTATGACCACTGATGATATTAATGTATGAAGAATAAATAATTTATAAATTTAAATTTGGAATTCAATTTATTCACTGCCAGTTTAGATGTTTGCTTGACAATCAGATGTAACAGGAGTGCTGATGTTTTTTTAATACGAAATGCCATGAAGCTAAAATTGAATTTTTGTATCACATTTTTGGATAAGGATGAGCGGATAGATCTTTTTAATATTGAGAATATTGAAGTATTCATTGTGAATATTAATTAATCATATCCATATATTTAATAAAATTACTCTAAAATTACATTTTTAAATATTACTATAAAATAAAATAAAATAATATTTAAAAATATAAAAGTAGGTGCCAGCCGGCAGCGGGAGCAAGGTCCAAGCTACCGGCAGTTAGGGCTCCAAAGACAGGAACCTCCTCACAATACGTGCCGTTTCAAGGAGGACTGCCTTCTGTATGAGGCCCTTGATCCATCCGCCTAACGTCAGCCTCTTAAGGTGGTTGTCGAGGCTTTTGGGGACTAACCCATTTGCCGACACAACTATCGGCACAACGATAGCCGAGTCCACACTCCACATGTCAACAACCTCGTGAGCTAAGTCAAGATATTTTAATTGTTTATCTTTCTCAGCTTTCACGAGGTTCTCGTCATGAGGAATGGCAACATCGATTATCGTCGTGCGACGCGCTAGTCGGTCTACCAACACTATGTCAGGCTTATTGGCTACAATAGTCCTGTCTGTGATGATAGACCGATCCCAGTACAATGTGATATGGTCTTTTTCGAGAACTGGGTCGGGCACATACTTGTAGTACGGAACCTCAGACTCAACAAGCCGGTATTTCAAAGCAAGTTGCTGATGAATAATCTTAATCTTATTCATAATAATCTTAATCATTATTATTACAATCATAAACATGTTTTTATCATTAACTAACGGTGTTGTAACATAAAACAAAGTGATTACCTAATCCTTTGTTTGTTAAAAGCAGGTATGAAGGAGACTGAGTCTGATACTTTGAAACGAGCAAATAGCTTCACTAAAAAGACTGTCCGACAGACTGACACTTTTCATCTTCCAGCTTTGTTTAAAAGTGCCTGCAAGGGTCTAATTGAAATATGCAGAATGCAAACATGCCATGTGTATGAGTTGACTGTCAAAGACCTGGACTTCTAAAATTGTTTATTTGGCTTATCAATGTATTCCTGAAACTATAATTTCCTCTTGCGTTGTAGGTGCATTTACACACTTTCATTGCACCCAGACCTGTGCATTAGCCTACCCAACCACTACAATCATGCAATAAATAAAATTCTAATTTGATTTTACTCATCCTATATTGTGTGAGAACTAAGTCATGTGGTTTCAATAGAATGCCTATTATATCATCCTAATAATGTTTGCGTTGTATACTTAGAAACTAGTCTAGTTGTACATTATAAATTATGTTTTGATGGCTGCCTCCTTATATGTACAATAAGAACAAATTATGGATGGTTGTGTAATAAGACCATTTAGTAGTTGTTATAGTTATAGTATTATAGTTATAAAAAGGAAACTGAAATATATGAAAGTTGAAACAGGCATGTCTGTTACCTTGTGTTTTTTCATCAAAATATTTGAAAGTATTTTTGGTAAGAAGTAGTTTTTATTAATTTATATTTCAATCGATCAAAGTAGTTAAGTGTGGGAGAGCAATGCTTTGGCACGAATGGGTCGGCGAAAACCGGAAAAAAACCGGCGTGAATCAACCACAGTATTATGTTTCGCCGTGTGAGTGAGGTTACCGGAGGCCCAATCCTTCCCCTTCCCCAATCCCTCCCCAGTCCCTAAATATCCAAATCCCTAAACCCTGAAAGGTCGGCAACGCACTCGTGCCTCCTTCGCTGCGGGTGTCCATGGGCGGCGCTGATTGCTTACCATCAGGTAATCCGTTTGCTCGTTTGGCGACCGAAACGTTAAAAAAAAAATCAATTTTTCATATACCATACAAAAATCCGAATTGATTTGTTTTTCAACTAATTAAATTGATATAATTAATTAGATAGGTATTGATGTTATTTTTGTTAAGTTATTGGGTATTGTATTAGTTAATTTCTTTCTAAGAAAGATACAGAATTTTCTGAAGGGCTAGCAATATCTCAAAACTTAATTAAGTACATTTTCTAAATATTGTCAAAGTGAGCATTTGTACAAAAAAATTGTATTGTAATTGTACCAATTGTTTGTCTGTCTTACTAAACTCTAATACATAAAACCTTTTTACTTAAAAGATCCGGAATCAATGTGCAACATTAAAAAGTACGTCATTACCTACGTCGCCACCGTCACACAAAAGTAGGTATCATATAATAAGATCTTGTTGTCATTGCGAAAAAAAAATAAGTACGAATAAGATCTTGTTGTCATTGCGAAAAAAAAATACGCACGGATTTTTATTGCCTAGAGATAGATATGATAGCGTCGGCTCGATCGGAGTGATACCACGGCCTCACAGAAAACCGGCGTGAAGCAACCACAGCGTTGTGTTTCGCCGTGTGAATGAGGTAACGGGGTGCCTAATCCTTCCCCTCCCTCAATTCCTAAATCTCCAAATCCCTAATCCCCAAAAGTTCGGCACCAATGCACTCGTAACTCTCTGTTGTTTCGCGTGTCCATAAGCGGCGCTGATTGCTTACCATCAGGTAATCCGTCTGCTCGTTTGACGATCTATCAGGTAAAAAAAAGCAATATAAATTAAAAACCTACTTAGGTCGGTAGTTCGGTACTATGATTTTAAACTGACGCGACATGGTGCAAGAATGTATCCGCGCGAATTTGGGTTCGCTGTGCCGACAGACTGTTTAGTCTTAAGATAATACGGTATTTGACAACTAGACAAATTCAATACAATACGAAACTGTTTTATGGAATCGGTAGGGAAAAAAATGTGACATATTTTCAAGTCAAACTGCCAGCATACCTTTTCTAAAAAAAAAAGAAATTAAGAACGTCAAATTTATCAATGAAGTACGATATTATTTGCGAATATTTAATCGTATTAAAATCTTTAAGGAATTTATTTTTGATTGAGGAAAATACCCAATTTGTTACTTCCAAATAATATTTTTTATTCGTTTTTCAAATATTCGCATGCAAGATGCATTAGCGTTTGTATC